CCGTTAGGAGGCCTCTCTCCTTATATATGGCCCCGTGGATGTGGGCGGTAGCAAATGCATAGCGGCTGTCAGTGTAGATATTGGCTATCTTCCCCTCCGCAATTTGCAAGGCCTTAGTTAGTCCAATCAACTCGGCCCTCTGTGCAGAGGTCCCTGCTGGCAACTCCCCTTGCCACAGATCTTCATCCTTTATGGTTACTGCTGCCCCTGCATACTGCTGTCCATTTTTGATCTTGCGGTAGCCCATGGATAGGCCTCTGCTTTGCCCGTTGCTCTAATTATTTTGGTTGTTGCCTTTTGAATTTGCCCCTGTGGTTGTTTCAGGACTGAGACGGTGGCTCCCGTGTCCACCAGGAAGTCTATTGGCTTACCTTCGACTGTTAGGGTGACCATGGGCTCCTGGGAGCCCACCGACGGGAATGGAGCCCTGGCCCCGTCAGTCTAAGGTTTGGAGCAGGACTTCGGGGCCTTGTTTCCGCCCTTGACTAGTGGCCTTCAACTTTGGGCAGTCGCGCTTCCAGTGCCCTCTCTCCTTGCAAAAGGCACATTGATCTTTGTCTATTTGCCGTCCCTGGCCCTTTCGCTGTCCTCCTTTCCCTTTGGAGGGAGGCTTCTGGGCGGCAGTCAGGATCTTGGCAACCTCTTTTGCTCTGCTAACCTCCGGATCATCCCTATTGACATATACCTTCTGAGCTATTTCTAATAACTTGCTCCTGTTTTCTCCTTCAAATCCCTCTATTTTCTGAAGTTTTTCCCTGCTATCTGAAGCTGCCTGAGTCACGAGGGCTATGTTAACTAGTCTCCTGTTCTCTTCTTCTTCGGGATCTAAGGGAGTATATACTCTATCCTGAATGACTTCACTAACTTTACTGAAATTGGTCGGCTTCCTAGCCGCTGCCTTTAGTCCTCTAAGTAGAGCCCGGCGGTACTGGAGGAGCGCATCCCTTCCCCCTGTGGTGTTAGGGTCCCAAGCTGGGGGCTGAGTTGGGAGGATATCCTCGAGTTCCCTCCTTTCCCCTAAGGTAGCCCCTTCCTCTCCTAAGACTGCCTTTGCAGCTTCCCTAATAATCCTATCCCTCTCTTCCTAAGTGAAAAGGGTCTGCAGAATCTGCTGGCAATCATCCCAGGTGGGTTGATGGGTTCTGAATATGGTCTCAAGGAGGGAGATTAATCCTTGAGGTTTCTCTGAAAACGGGAGGTTCTGATGTTTCTAATTGTATAAATCACTTGTGGAGAAAGGAACATAAATTAGGCGGGGAGGTGCCCGCGGTGGGGTGGCGGGCGCCGGCGGCGCCTCCCAGAGCGGTAAAATGACGGCATCGCTCTTGGGAGGCAAATTGGTGGCTGCTCCCACCGGCACTGCCTCCCTCTCCCTATAATGCACTCCACTCTGAGTGTGTGGTGGGTTGATGGGTCCACCACCATCCTGCCTTGATGAGTCAGGTTCCTCCCTGCGGTGGTAGGGGGAAGGGGCGTTCCTGGCAGGACTGGATAGAGCTTGGGTTTATTCTGCGGCTGCTTTGGGACCAGGTCACTGCATGGTCCTCCTTCCCCTTTTTGCTGTAGCTAGGCAACAGGACGTCTCCCTGTAGCTAGGCAAATTGCTCTCCTACTCCTTTGGTTCTCCTGCATACACTTCCTAATGTAGTGGAGAGCTAGGTACGGACTCCTGCTGGCCCATTTGCACACGCTGAAGGACCTTGGGAAGTTCAGAAACAAGAATGGTGGCAACAAGCATAGACACAAAAACAAAAGATAATATAGACAATGCACAGTCCCTAGACATAAATCCTGATTCTGGTTCGCAGCACAGCGCAGCGCAAAGAGAAACGAAACCTAATGTGACCGGTCTCAATCTTATGAAACTAAAACCAAGTCCCGAGGGCTGCGTCCCGTCCCTGGGAGCCCCTGGGTGGGTTACTGGCAGCGTCCCGCCTCCCACCTCAGGGTTGTCTGCTCCGGAGCCCTAGAAGCAACAGAGGATCCTCCCAGTTACTTACTCAGCCCGATCTGTCCTTCTAGTTTCTGAACCGAAACTCCACCGGGGGGAGATCTCGCTGGGGCCTCCAAATGTTGCATCCACCAACGCGACAGACAAATTGTCAGAAACTTTCAGGATCCAGAGATGTTATTTTATTGGCCAAAGTTTTAACCTGTGCAGGGGTGGACCCTCAGAGTGTCCAGAGACACGGTGCTCATAAGAGCTGCAAACGAGAGCTGCCCTAAGCGCTTACAGCTAAGTCTTTTTATAGACGCGAGTAAGCAAGCATTGTATAGAAGCAAATGTGGCTGTTAGCTACTGGCTACTCGGGTGGCGCGAGCATGACCTAAGCTTTCTGGGTTTTGAGTAATGGAAAAATTTTAACCTAGACACTTGAACAGGTGGTCCTCTACTTGTTCAGCCCCACTGGTTTTGTAGTTCCGCCTTCTCCACTCCCTGTGTTCTTTCTTAATTTCCTTGTGGTTTCTGCCTCCAGGCCAAATCTCTTTAAGGCAGTCCCTATTTTAACCTCTATTTTTCTGGTTTCAACATTCAGTAGTTATAAATTAGCCCAAAGCTGTATTTCTGGCTTTGGTTACAAGTTCTCAGGAGTTGTTTGTTCCCACAAAAGGTCTTGGCCAGGACACATCACTTCCTGGTCATCTGCTATGCCATCGAGCAGGTTCCTGGGGCCAGGGCTCTCTGTCGGGTCTCATTCCCACTTCCCCACAAGTGTAGCCCCTAAGGTTCCAGGTCTCGAAGAAAGACAGGTACCCCCAGGGCAGCTGCAGCCTCAGCCTCCCCCACTCCCTTCAAACCACTCTGATTTTTCCACTCCCTCTTAATTTTCACCCCTGGAGGGTTTGCTTACTTTTCTTGAGCTCAGTTTTGCCTGGAAAGGGCTGGGTGTAGTACTGCATCAGCATTCCAAAGTGGTTTACAGCAGCTGGACACTTCAGGCTCCCCGTGGTCCTCAGTACGGCTGCTGCGGGTTTTTAGGGACTGCGTTGCGAGACCACGCCAGGTTCTCTCTGACCTTCCGAACCAGCTCTGAGATTCCAAGATTCTTGGTCAAAAGAAACTTGCAAAGCCCCTGCCCCTGAGGACTCTTGCTCCTGTCAGCACTCTGGGCTTCTTCTGACAGATCTCCTCGGATCGGCGGGGGGTAAAGAGAGCCCCCTGGACAAAGATGGGGATTTTCTCAGAGGACTGGAGAAGGGAAGTGTGTACATTGCCAACCAGTGAAGCAGGAACTTCCTCCTTCATGGAAGTTGCTCCCAGCTCAGAGGGCTGCGGAGCATCCAGGGGCATGTCAGGAAGTATTTGGGGAATTTGGCTCCGCCCTGAAGAACAACCCTCTCTCATATACATATATGTAATGGAGCGTAACTTGGCCATAAAAAAGGTGAAACCTTGCTACCTCTGACAACATGGCTGGAAGGAGGAGCAATTACGCTAAGTGAACTCAGTCAGGCTGAGAAAGACAAATGCTGTATGGTTTCACTTACGTGTAGAATTGAAAAAAAACCAAAATAAATGAACAAACAAAACAGAAACAAACTTATAACTACAGAGAACAAACTGGCAGTTGCCAGAAGGGGGGGAGGGTAGGGGGTGTGAAAAAGGGGAAGGGATGAAGAAGTGCACACTGCTAGTTACAAACACAGTCGCGGGGATGTGACGTACGGCACGGGGAGTAGGGTCAGCAATATGGTGATAACTGCCTACGGGGTCAGCTGGGCACTTACGGGGGTGATCACTCCATAAGTCATGTAAATGTCCGATCATTGTGTTGTACACCTGAAACTAACACAATACTGTATGTCACCTGTAATGGGAACATTTAAAAAATAGTGGCCGTCTCTGTGGTGAGTCCCAGACACTTGAGGTCAGGTAAGTTCAAGGAAAAAGAGCCAGTTGCACACATGACAAATGCACACCCATGCTCTTCTTACACAAGCACACACTGTCACATATATACACAGATACTCCCCAATGTGCATACATGTATCCACTGTCACCTACCAGTTCGCACACTTACTCAGGTTCACGTGCATATATATACACATATACACTCTCACACATCTACATATATACACACACACACGCATTGTTTTAAAACGTTCCCAGGATTTGTTTTAATCGAAAGGTAAGACGCGCGGACATGGAAATGACTGTGATGAAGGAAGAAGTTTTTACTCACAGTTCCCCAGAAGCAGGAGATGAAGCGGGATTTGCAAGAACAATCCGGACTCTTTGAAATATTGTTTGAGCAGTTGGTCCAAAGGTTGTGGGTTACTGTTAAGCTGAAATATTGTTTGAGCAAAGGAAGGCTGAGGGAGCAGGGTGTGGAGCGCTTTTGGTGCCTGGTGGCTAAGGGCTCCTTCCTGGTGTGGAGTAGACGCTGAGCTGTCTGCTGTGAGAGCTCAGTGTTACCTGTGGAGTCAGAAAATGATAGACCCATGCCACGTCCACAGTTGGATCCCTTCCTTGACAAAGTCAGGAGGGGGGGTCCAAGACTTCAAAGAAGCATTTTCCAACCTGGTGGACGTGGCATGGAGGGCATGTTTACCCCCCCCCGAGTCAATTTAGACATATCTAATACGCAGAACAAGAATAGGCCCCCTGCGACAGCCTAACCAAGGCAGACAGCCAAGTTCCTGTTCAGACCAAGAAGCATAGTAACAGTAACTGCAAAAGCCAACGAATGCGAAATCGCTTGCCAGCTAGAATAGTATAAAAGCTTCAGTCTTACTTTCAATAAAGGTCTTCAGAGCATCACCTGCCTTGAGCTGCTTAGTTGCCTGATTTCCCCGCCTACTCCAACCTTCACCTCGAGGGGACCCTTAGACCCGCTGCAGCTGGACCTGGACCGCGGCAGACCCAGCCCCCAGCAGATCCGTTTGGCTGGGAAGGGGGGGGGGTTGGCAGGGCCCCACTGCGTTGGGCTGTGCTGGGTAGAGCAAAGAGGGGGAAAGTGCAGCCCAGCCGATACATTTGCTTTTATTTCCTTCTCCAGGTAGGAGGAGAAAGCACCCCCAAAACTCTCAAAGGTAAGCTTTGGATGGGCCAAGCACGTTTATTAGTGTGCATCGCTCACTCCTTGAAGTCAGAGAGAAAAATAAAAAGGGAATCAGAGGGCTGATGCGAAATTTTAGAAAAGTCAGGGGGGCAAAAGGGAGAAAAACACTCCCACCTTCTGCAGCCAAGCTCCAGCCCCCTGGGCCCCCAAATTCCAGCCTGATGCTTCCCTAGAGCCCATGATAGCTCCGTCAGTGGTGGATTTACTGCTCAGGGTTTGAGTAAGCAGCAGTGAGAACAAAAGCGTTGTTTTTTGGTTTTCTTTTTTTTACAATGGCTTTGTACTTTTTGGCTATTACATATAAATCTCTGGCAAAATTGATATGAAATGTTCTAGACTTTAATCTCACAAGTGCTACAAGGGAAAGCTGCAAAGAAAAAGTACTAGTGCTACACAACGGCCTTGCTTTTGGATTAATTAAAGTTAAATTATTTGAGTACTGAAAACAGAACAAGTCTCCAAAGCTGATGATTTTTGCCAGTCAGAGCCGCTGGGAAAAGGAAGATGACCTGGAAAAGAGAAGCCACCCCTAAATGGAGACACACATTTGGGAGCTGGTTTGCCCAAGAGCCCTTGCAATTTGGAAGTCTTATCTTTTGAGGTCAGTAATTTTGGGGCCCAGTGGGCCTGTTTTTGACAGGGTCAGTTTGGACTCTACGTTGGACAAAGGGAAAGGACTCAAGAAAACCTTGCTGGCCACTTGGACTTGGGACTCAGCTGCCTGGTGCTGCAATCTCCTAAAGAAAACTGCTGGCTTTTTTGGAATCCTCATTTTACAGATCTGATCTCAGCTGGCCAACTTGGCTGAGATCTGACAGCGTGGACCATGGGCAGATGGAGCCTCAGTACAAGGTGCGCCCCACTGACGGTGGGCAGGCGGGATGCCTGTGAGCAAGAACAGATCACAGACTCCGGAATGTTGCAGGTGCAGGACCCCTCTGTGGGGCCCTAAACTGTGAAGACCTCATGACTAATGAGTAGACTGACTGGATCACATGCAAGTGCTCACGCGGAAGAGCTTATTCTCTGCCGGGACCACTTTCTGATAGGCTGTGTTTTTCAGATACTGAGACTGACCGCGTCCCTAGCATGGAAACCCCAAAAAGCTGGGCGTGGGGTGAGGACGCGTTGTAGAGGCTGTGACCCTTCTGCCCAGGTGGGACTCTCGACTCCACCAGAGGGATGCCTCACAGCTGTTGCCTTGTAGCTTTCAGATCAGTTGCACTTTGCAGCAGTGGACACATAGTCTGGCTCTGGGCCCCTCACCGCTCCTTGGTGCACACACCTCAGGAAGGCAGTTTGATTGTGAAATGCAGCTGTTCTCAGAGACAGATCGAGCTGTTCTCAGAGACAGATCAAGCTGTTCTAGGCTCTTGACTGATTAAATAAGTAGGACAAAGGGGATGGCAGGTTATGTACACACCCATTTGAAAACTGGTGAAAATTCAGGATTTCATCTTGATTATTTCTTGAATGTGATTATGTCTCTCTGATTGACTGGTACAAAAATGTTTTCCTGTGAAAATGCTTTTGTCCCTCTTGCACACAGCCCTTCCGGAGAAAGGTCTGGATGAGCCAACGATGGGAAGTTTTGATTACTAAAGCGGCCAAAAAAACCCTTTTTCTAATGAGGGGAAAAAATCCCAGGCACCTGAGGAAGTGAGGGTGGGGAGTGTGGCGTTGGGGGGAAGGGGAGGGACAGCATTCATGAGCTTTGTTCCCGGAAGGTCTCACCTCTTCCTTAAGGAAAAGGGCCCAAGACCGAGCTTAGGATCACACCTGAGGAGCAATGATATGATGAGCAATGATCTGAGGGACCGGCGGGGTCCCAGCTCCTGTACTTTCCACATGGAGCACCTCCAGATATCGCCCACACCCCTGAGTGGGTGAACTGGGATCACAGACAAGCAGAACTGTCAGGACCTGACTGCGGACCTGAGCACTGAACGGTGAGGACAGGACTGTGAGCCCCGTGGGGGGGGGGCCCTGTGGGGAGCCCGCCCACCATACTGCCTGAGGCAGCCCCCCCCAATTTGCAGCTCCCCATGGGACCACCTGTGCCCTCTGGGATCGTACTTCTGTGCGTGCCCTGGAGGCAGGTTACTAAACTTGGAAAACTCCTTACACCTGAATGAGAGAAACAGAGACAAAACAGTTAGACAAATGGCAGAGTAATTAGCAGCCAACTAATAAATCACAAGACCCTACCGTCCCTAACCAAAGACATTTAGGAGCGGATGGTTGACATCTCTCCTCCCCAACCAGAGAGCAGGTAGCTTAATCACTCTAGTCAGGGCGATGGATGACAGAGACCCAATACCAGGCAAACCGAAGAATAGATGATGCCAGTGGAATAACAAAAAACCCAATTACAGCCAGACAAACCAAAGAGAAAGGAGAAGTTGACCAGAGAATGACCCCAGATCTCATACATACTCACTTCCATGCATCAGCATATTGAAGGACACGCCTGGAAAGCTGGTGAATATTCTGATTGAATCATCCCCTAAAATTGCCACCTGCAGAAAACATAAAAACTCTCAAGACTAAGGACCCACGTGCACTGTTTCTGGAGCACATCCTCGTCTGCCCACTCGTCCTTCCTCAGGTGTGTACTTTAGATAGGAGACTCAAGAGTTGGAAAATTTTAGTTTAACGTAAAAGGTCATAAGCCTAGTAAGTAATGTATGTGTTAAAGCTTTCATTTCAGAAACTACAGAGAAGGCCCATCCTGGCTCCTAGAAAACAGCTGACCTCCCGGGCCACTGCTGCAGATCACTACCTGGAGCCCTGGCTGGTGTGGCTCAGTGGGTTGAGCACTGGCCTGGGAACCAAAAGTTGCTGGTTCGATTCCCAGTCAGGGCACATGCCCGGGTTGCGGGGCAGGTCCGCAGTAGGGGGCACATGAGAGGCAACCACACACTGATGTTTCTCTCCCTCTCTTCCCCTCTGTAAAAAAAATAAATAAATAAAATATTTTTTAAAAAAAGATTGCTACCTGGGGACAAGTGGAGGCATCTGGGCCTTTGTGTTCCAAGGAGAGACAGAGGACCACCTGCTCCTGGGGACAGCTAACTGCCCAGGACAGGAATGTTGCAGCTTCTATCACCTAATCCTCCCTGAATCTCAGAGCCTTCAAATCTCACCTTGTTTATTACCTGTTACAAAAAGTCTGGCCTGGAAGGAGCAGGCAGGACGGTCTGTTAGGGTGTGAACCCACCACCTTCTCAGACCGCCGGCCACCTGAATAAAGCACCCGTAAAGATTCAGTCGCTGTCCTTGCTTATTGGGTTTGCAGTGACAGGCAGGCAGCCCAAACGCGGGGGGCTTTTCCGGTTCCACTTTTACTTTCCTGTAAGCTCAGAAGGCCCTCCTCTTGCCTAACTTCTCAGCGAGCCGGAGCAGCCTCACCTTGCCTCATGCCCCCGTTGCTGTTATCTTGCTTCTTCTGTCCTAAGTCCTTTCTTCCTTTGTCTTAGCGTCCCAAGCTTTACTAAACGTACCCTCAAATTCGCCTGGACTCGTATCTTGCAATCTGTCCTTCGTGAAGTCAAGAATCCACACTTTCCAAAGCGTGTTGGGGGCAGACCTGCCTGTCTCCACCCAGCCCCTTCCCAGGAACACCCCACTTTTAATGACACCCCTGGGAAGCACGCAGATTAGCTTCATTTTGCTGGCTAGAGCTGTGCCTTGGGCCAGTTAAAATGGCTCATAGAGAAACCGAAGGGACAAACCACCTGGCTTTCTAAGATGGGCTTTGTTTTGATGGGCTAAGTCCAGGGCAGGTGGAGGATTTCCCAAGGCATCCAGTCCTATCTCATTTTTGCTGGACAGTTCGTCCCTCATATTCTCCCTGTCCTCACGCATTTTACAATATGCCTGAAGAAGGAACCAAGTCACACCTTCAACACTTTGCTTGGAAATCTCAACTAAATATCCACGTTCATAGTTTACAAGCTCTGCCTTCCACACAGCTGTAGGATGCAATTCAGTTAAGTTTCCATCACTGCGGAACTGGATCCTCTGGCACTTTGCTATTGGTCAGAATTCCTTTCCTTGGGAGGGTCAGAAACTCGATGCTAACTGGTTTAGGCCAAAAGAGGGATTTCCCAGAAAACTCCTCCACTTGTCCCGGGAGGAGGTGTAGCTGCCCCGCCCCCTGCCCCCTCCACCCCCGGCCCCAACTGGGATCGTTACCTGCGTCTCTCCCCAACTCCCCTTTTCTCCTTTTTCTTAGGACAGCCTGCTTAGTGAACTCCACCGAAACGTGACCAGAGGTGGTCCCAGTTCACAGAGCCCACCTTTACCTTCCCAAAGCCCCCCCTCTTTCCTAGGTTCCAATTTCAGAAATCCCAGAAAAGCCTTCTAATTGCCCACTTGAGTCACCGGCCAGAAGGACGGACTACTGGTGTTGCCAGATGCCCAGCCCCGCACCGCGGCCCCTGGGAAGATGAAGGAGGGGGAGAGTGGGGTGGGGGTGGGGGAGGGGGTGGGGGGCGGGGAGTGAGAAGATACGGAAAACAAAGAAGGTTCCTGCTCGGACTTGTCGCGATTCCGATTCCGAGGCTGGCAGCCTGCCTTGTCTGAGGATCCCCTGCACCAGTCCCGCCGTGCGCCTCCCCCGACTCGCGTGCCCCTCCTCCGGGCGGTGCAAGTGGACCTGGTGGGAGGCACCGGCAGGCTAGCGGCCACCTAATCCACTGCAATCGCACGCGGGTGTACACGCTTCTCCCGCTCCTGACCTGGGGCCCGGAGCGAGGTCGAGTTACGGAAAAATATTTTTTATAATTTAACCAGACAGGGCGGGAAGGCGTGGGGCCGGGAGCGGAATCAAAAGAGGTGGGCAGGCCTCTCACTGGCATTCTGGGGGCAGAGCCCACGCACTCATTTCCTGGAGATATCCGGCTCCGGCCACCACTGCTGTCCCTGCTGCCTTCGACCTCTGCCACCCCGGCGACCATGGGTCTGCAGCTCTACCTGGACCTGCTGTCCCAGCCCTGCCGCGCCGTCTACATCTTCGCCAAGAAGAACGGCATCCCCTTCGAGCTGCGCACCGTGGAGCTGCTCAAAGGTGGGTCCGGGCGTGATCCCCAGGTGCCCACGGGCGCTGCACCCACAGGCTCCTCTCCTGGCAACTCCCTGAGCGTCCGCACTGGAGGATATCCTGCGCCGTCCTTGGAGGATGTCCTTGGACAGGCCTTCTCTGAACCTTAGCTTTTCCCTCTGAAAGGGGGGTTAATGTTACCTTCTACTCTGTGGGACGGGGAGAAAACTGGGGTTTTCAGAGTTGCATGCATTTAGATGCATAAAGCCCTAAAGACCTTGGGGAGACCACGATGTGGTGGTGAGAATTAAGGGGTGGGAAGAGCTGAGCCAACCCTCTCCTTGCCCGCCCCAGTCCAGCCAAAGCACCTGGCTGCACCCACAAGCCCCTCTGCTGGTCTGGGAGGTGGTGGGGCAGGAGGCCAATGGCTCCCCAGTCAGGAAGGAGGCCACAGCCTCGGGGGGAGTGGAGCAGACCTGGTGCTCCCTGACCCCTGCTGTTTCTCAGACCAGCCCACCCAGGGGGCTGTGGTGTGGAGAGGGAGAGGGATGGGGGCGGGGGAGAGGGAGAGGGAGGGAGGGGGAGGAGGGAGCTGGTGTGCCTCTTGCCCTGCCAGCCTCTTCTGACCTCTTTCTCCTCAGGTCAGCACCTGAACACGGAGTTCCTCCCAGCTAACAGCCTGCAGAGGCTGCCTGTCCTCAAGGACGGTGACTTCATCTTGAGCGAAAGGTCCTCTCCTTCCCACCCACCTCCCAAGCCCCCAGCCCACTGGCCCCTGGCTCTCCCACTGTGGGCCCTCCCAGACCCCAGACGAGCATGGAGGGCCAAAGTTCAGAAGGGTACAATGGGAGCAGCTGGTCTGGAGTGAGCCCAGGGTGACCAGGGCTGAGGTAGCAGGTCCCTGCCCCTCTCTTGTCCTCAGTCTCTGCTTCTCCCCAGGGCCTCTCTGCCCCCCCACGCAGGGGCACTAGAAGACAGGATATGGGACCTTTGTCTGGCACTGGACAAAGATGAGGCTGAAAAAATACAATCCGAAAGGGCTTCTCCTGCCACCTCTGAGAGTCTGCCTGGGCCTGAGCACCCAGTTGGTGGTGAGGGCCAGCACCAGGCAGGAAGAGGACACGAGGTCAGGCCCAACAGTGGTGATGGCGGGGGGCCATGTGTCAGAGGGGACCTGCAGCAGGTCTGAGGACATGCTTTCCCTCTCCGTACCTGACCCGTACGCTCCAGCGTGCGAGGTGCACCCACTGTGTGCCAGCCCCATGCGGGCTTCCAGAGTTCCAGAGAGCCTTTTCTGAGTTGCGCAGCCTCGGCGAAGTCACTTAACAACTCCGAGGCTTACTTTCCTCGTGTGCGGAGGAGATAACGGGAGTCTCTGCCTCGTAGGGCAGCTGCTGGAATATCACAGAGATGAGGTTCTGAAAGTACAAAGTGGAAGACTGGGTTGAGAGTCCGTGCCCAGGACAGGGAAGGGAGGAGACTCAGGAGGAACAGTGCCCAGGCAGCTGGGGAGGGGAGGGGAGGCCATCACATGCAGAGAAGCCCGGGGCCCCACTGGGCGAGGGGAGTAGCTGGGGATAAAGGCCACGAGCCAGGGTCTTCACAGCCATTGCTCCTATCTCTGTCCCCAGTGTGGCTATCCTGATTTACCTGAGTGTTAAGTATCAGACGGCGGATCACTGGTACCCATCAGACCTGCAGGCCCGCATGCGTGTCCATGAGTACCTAGGATGGCATGATGACCGCATCCGTAGCACCTTTGGTGTGTCCCTGTGGGCCCAGGTGAGGAGAGCCAGCTGGGGAGTGGTTGACTGTGAGGGGTCTGGGAGGAGGCAGGGGCCACAGACTGAGCCTGTCCTTTGCTAGGTGCTGGCACCGCTCATTGGGATTCAGCTGCCTGAGGAGAAGCTGAGGCGCAATAGAGCTGCCATGGACCGGGCCCTGCAGCACCTGGAGGACAAGTTCCTGGGGGACAAGGCTTTCCTCACAAGCCAGCAGGTGACGCTGGCGGACATCATGGCTCTGGAAGAGCTGATGCAGGTGTGAGCTTGGCTGGGGGAGCAGCATTTGGGGACAGCATCCCTCTTATTGCCACTGCTCAGGCAGCAATGCTGAGGGCTAAGGAAAGTTAGCGTTTGCCCAGCATCCAGAGCAAGTTCATGGCTGAACTGATGTTGGAGCCAGGACCTGCTGCTTCTGTTCTGGGTTGGGTTTCATCTTGGCTGGCACTCTCGGGCCCTGAGGTTGTCCACACTGCCCTGGGCTGTGCATGGCAGTTGGGAAATGGACGTGACGCCTGTACCAGTGCTGCTGGCATCCAACCAACTGTCCCGTCCTTGTCCTTGCAGGTTGTGGCTCTTGGCTGTGACCTGTTTGAGGGACGGCCACGACTGGCCGCCTGGTGCCAGCGGGTGGAGGCTTTCCTGGGTGCTGATCTGTGCCAGGAGACCCACAGCCTCATCCTGAGCATCCAGGAGCTGGCAGCCAACAAAAAACTCCCGGACCCTCCCCCAGAGATGCAGTCCAGTATGCTGCTTCGTATATCCAGGATCCCCTGACGGGCCTGGGATAAGGTCGACTGGGGTCAGAAGATTGGTAGTCTTCATTCTGTTTCTTACTTTTCATATTTTGTCCCTTTTCTTTCTTTGTTTAAGATTTATTATTATTGATCTTTAGAGGGGAAGGGAAGGAGAGAGGGAGAGAAATATCAATGTATGGTTGCCTCTCATGTGTACCCCACTGGGAACTGGCCTGCAACCCAGGCGTGTGTCCTGATTGGGAATCTAACTGAAGTTGTTTGATTCGCAGGCCCGCACTCAATCCACTGAGCTACACCAGCAAGGGCCTTTTGTCCCTTTTCATCTTTTCCATGTTGTCACAGTCTCTCCGATTCCCGGAGGAACTCTTCTCAGATGGGACGTTGAATGTCCTTGGCAGAGCTTCTCCTCAGGTGCACCAGATGTAATCAATAGAAAATTAAAAGTTGCCATATGTATATAAAGAGCTCCTAAAATTCAATAACATGAAGAAAAAGAAAGCAACTAAAAATCAGTAAATGCCACCGTCGGTCTTTTAAATATAGTGAAGATTCTGATACTTTGATACAGAACCAAGAATTCTTGCTTTGCCCCGGCTGGTGTGGCTCATTTGGTTGAGTGTCATCCTGTAAACTAAAAGGTCACTGGCTCGATTCGTGGTCAGGGCACATACCTGGGTTGCAGGTTTGGGCCCCGGTTGGAGCAACTACAGAAGGCAGCCAATTGCTGTTTCTCTCTTACATTGATGTTTCTTTCCCTCCTTTCCTTTCTCTCTAAAATCAAAAGTTAAAAAAATGGAGCCCTGGCTGGTCCGGCTCAGTGGACTGAGAGCTGGACCATGAACCAAAGAGTCACCAGTTTGATTCCCCATCAGGGCATATGCTTGGGTTGAGGGCCAGGTCCCCTGTGGGGGGGAGGCTCGAGAGGCAACCACACATTGATGTTTCTCTTCCTCCCTTCCCCTCTCTCTAAAAAAATAAATAAAATCTTAAAAAAATAAAAGAATTCTTTATTTTTGTGTCGTGGCCACTCAAGGCCAGGTAGGTGCATGGTATTCGCGCAGATGGAATAATATTCACGGAGCCGTGGGGATGCCTGCCATGTCTTTATTCGCGAGTGGACAAGCCTTGCATGCCATAAGCTGCCTGTCTCCCTGCACGTCACTCGTCGTGGCCCTTGCTTCCCAGCGTGGCACCCATCATGGCACCTATCCCCTTGCGTGTCTATCTGCATGTCTCTCCAGTGAGAAGATCCTACATGTTTAAGGACTAAAGGTGAATAAAGCCAGAAAAATGCCAGACCGTTACATATAATTCTGTGCATGTGAGCCCGCCCCATGTTATGGCAAGACCCAGGCTCAAGCCTATGAGAACACTGGTTATCAGACCCTCCAAGGCCTTGGGAACACTGCTCCCCTTAGCTACCCAGACACCTGGGTGAGGAAGCCGGGCTGCCTCCACTTACCCCACAGTTTTATTACACCGTGTAATATGCGTGGAGTGAAACATGTCCCAGGAAACTTCAGCGCGGTTAACCGAAGCAACTTACTGTGCTGGCTGGTTCTATGGAACCTGTGGTTCGGCCTGTTCTCCCAACCCCTCGGGAACATCACTGGCCAGGCTGGGTTCTGTGCTGTCCCTGGAACCGAGGTTGAAGTCGGTCCTGCCCAAATATGTGCGTGGGTGTGTCAGATGGTGTCCCCCAAAGTCCTGTCCATTGTCAGATATGTTTCTGTGGAAAGTGCAGGAAGGCATGATGGCCTCCCAGCTGAGGTCAGGAAGGCCAGAGATTGGCTCCAATCTTCCTGGGCCCCAGAATGGGGCCAGGACAGTTTCCTGGGAGGCCTTGGCTGGGTGCCTAGGAGCGCTAGGGCCGCTCTGGCTGCTACCCACTCCATGGCCCACCCAACCCACACGGGCCCCTGTGGGCTGTCCTCTGGATCCATGGAGGCCCTGTCTACAGCCCAGCCCTCAGCAGCCCAGACCTGGGTCCCGACAGAAGAGAAGCCCGCGGGCCAGTCTAGGAAGAAGGCCTGTGTAGGCCGAGAGGCAGATGGACAGAGCTGGGGCGTGTGGCCACGCTGGGTGAGGGGGCACTCCCGCCATGGGAGGCCGCTGCACAGGGAGCCTGGCATCAGACTTGGACTTGAGAAACCCCCTCTGTTGCTGTGTGGACCAGGACCAGGGGCCCTGGGTAGAGTCAGGGCAGCTGCTCTGGAAGCTGGTGAGGTCGGCCAGGCCATCCAGAGGCTTGGGGGTGATAAGAAATGCAGAACGTAGAGTGACAGACAGCATGACAGCAGCGCCTGGCGACGTAGGGGTGAGGTTGGGATGAGGAAGAGGAAAGACTCCTAGGGGTCTGGCCTGATCCCCAGAGGGCGGGGGGTGGGAACACACTTGAGGTGGGGAGCTCTGGAGGAGTGTAGTCAAGAGGGAGGTGGTTCAGATGTCGGGACAGTTACTTGGTGTGGAGAGAGGAGAGGCCTGGGCTGGGGGTGGGTGGGGCACGGGTGTGTGTCAGTGTGTGATTTGTGTGTGTGTCACGGGCATAGTGGAAGGGAAGACACAGAAGACTTTGAGGACCTGAACTGTGTGCCTGCCAACTTGTCCCAGCCTGTGTCGTCCCTCCTTAAAGGCTGGTGGAGGCCACCCCGGCTGCCCCAAGAGAAGATTAGATCAGCAGCCCAGGAGGTCAGGTGTTCTGGCCCCATCTGGTGGGAGGAGCAGGAGGTGGGAGGGTCTGAGGGTTCCCAACGCCCTGAGAAGGAGGAGGAGGGCCAGGCTGGGGACTCTGCGTTTGGAAAACCAATGACTAAGCCCCAACAGGGCCACAGCCCAACCTGCTGCCACTCCTGAGAGGCCAGGAGGGGTGGCAGCTTGACAGGGCACCCAGCCAGTCACGGAGGGACTAGGCTTTAGGGAAGGGCACAGACCACAGGCCCCATTTTACGTAAAATGAGGCGTCTCTGAGGGTGGAAACTGGGTCCTGGGAGCAAGCAGCCCAAGAGGGATCGAAACAGCCGGACCCTCCAAGCCCCTGCCCCAGACCCTGGGCCCAAGGGAGAACTGGTGCGGGAAAAGAACATGGAGACCCCTTGGCGTGGGTGTTCTTGGCAGGTTTGCCTTTCTCCCTCTGAGTGGGGAGCCCGACATCAGGGAGCTGGGCCTGGAGGCAGAGGGCAGGTTGAGGTGGTTGCTGGGAGGAGAGGTTGAAACGGGACCCAGGGAGGAGGAATGGAGCGGTGTGGCTGAGGGGGAGGGGTAAAGACGCCACCTGGAGGAGGGCGTGGGAATGAGGAGGTCCTCCCCTAGAGGTGAAGTTGGAGAGAAACCCCATCAAATCACCCTGCTTGTAAGAGGTGGAGCTGCCCGGTCCTGGCAGGGTGGGGAGATCTCTGACACCCTGTCTTCAGCAGGGCTCACTTTTATACCTGAGCCGCAAATATCAGACGGAGGTGCACTGGTACCCACCAGGGCTGCAGGCCCGTGCCATGTTGACGAGTGCTTGGCGTACTTGCACACTGTCAGCCATCTGCCTGCCACCGATGTCTGCCTGTGCAAAGTGAGCCTACCTGCCCTACTGTGCAGGATTGGGCAGGCGCCAGGATGCCCAGAGCTGGAAAGGACCAGTTGGCTCATATATTGCTGCCCCTCCACTGCCCTGGGCAGACATTACTAGTCCATCACAGCACTCGTTTCCCTGAGCCTGAGTGAAACCTCAGAATCCTTCTGCACATGGAGCCCCAGAGGGCTTCACTGATGGATAGTGGCCGGGGAGGAGGGGAGAGGAGGCCGAGGAGCTTGGAGGAGCATAAGAGAAGCTGTGCCCTCTCTTCCAGCCCAGCCTCTCCTGCCCCACTATCCCAGGCAGCCTGTGGACACTGCACAGCTGGAGCGGCTGTTGGGGAGGCTGATGCCTGCTCTGCAACACCTGGAACAGGGAGGCGCTTCCTAGCAACTGCGCAGGTCTCTCTGGCAGAATTGATGGCTCTTATGAAGCTGATGCAGCCGAGTTTCTCCTGTCTGCTCACATGCTGGGGGTCTCAGTAAACTGGGCTGAGGCTTCAGCACCAGCTGCCGTGTCTTCCCAACCCACTGCTGTCCACGTGACCTCTTCTGAGACTGGCCCCAGCTGGCAGCGCGGTAGCCCTTGAGGAGGCTGCCCTGGGCCCTGAGCTTGTTCAGTAGGCCCTCGGGCTTGTGCTCCAGCCTCGGGAACCCCCTCTCCCATTCAAGAGGCCCAGCTGACCCAGCTGGCTCAGGTGCTGCCCACCCTCCTGAACCCTGCTACCTGCAGTAAACACTCGGTGCACCCTCTGCTTGTCTTTAGCCTCACACCTGCCCCAGGAAGTGGGGTTTCGCCATATCTGTACAGATAGGGAATCTCCCACGATCACACGGCAGAGTAGCAGTGCACAGTCTTCCCACAGTGTCTACATTTTTTTAGCGGACAGGTGAGAAGTTCCAGGTGCATGGCCTGGCCACTGCCAGACCCAACCCAGTCTAGAAGTTTCTGAGCTCCTCTGCATGGCATAGCTTAACTGGCTGGTCCTCGACTCCCCTGTGGCATTGTTCCCAGTGTTCTGACAGCTCCTGTTTTCCTCTCTCCCACTCTCTACTTCTGGACCCTTCCAGGGTTAGATCTCATTACCCATGCTTCTTCTGGATCCTGCAAAGCCCTCCTGGTCACGTTCCACAGTGAAGGCCTGGCCCTGAGAATCCCCTTGAGTGAGCCCTTTTCTGACACCAGCTGTGGGCACACACAGACCCCCGAGGGAGGGGAAGGGCAGAGTGACAGCTGCCCCCAGTCCTCTACCCTCCCCCTCCCGTGCCTGAGCCAGAGCCTCTCCCCAGACTACTTCCGGGCCTCCTCAGAACCCTTGCTGCTGTGAGAATTCCAGGCTTCGTGGCCTCATGACAACCCAAGTGAAACAAGAAGTTCCAGAATGCAGGGTCCTGGGCCTCAGTTGGAGAGTCCTGGGGGGCCCAGGACCAGGGGCCGAGGCTACATACAGGCTCAGGGCCTGCAGACTGGGGCTGGAGCGGGCCCGGCACACGTCTCAGCATGGGGCTGGAGCTCTACCTGGACCTGCTGTCGGCGTCCTGCCGCGCCGTCTACATCTTCGCCAAAAAGAACAGCATCCCCTTCGAATTCCAGTTTGTGGACCTGCTGAAAGGTTGGCACCCACTGCTCCCCCAGGGGCAGCCTGGTGCCGGGACTAGGCAGGACTCAAGGTTGGGGTGTGTCTGAAAAGTGGAGTCAGAGGTCAGGAAGATGACCTCGTGTCGAACTCCACGGGGGAAGAACAGGGCCTGCCCAGCCTGCCCTCGCAGGTCCCCACGGTTCTGCCCCACTCTGATGAGCAGGCTCGTAGAGGGTGGAGTGGGAGAAAGGCTGTGGAGGGCTCCCCCAGTGCCCTCGCCTTCCCCGTGTGGGAGTCCAAGTCCAGGATCTTATTAGCTTCAGCACCAGCTTTTGAGGTTGGCAAAGGTCACAGAGGTGTCTTGTCCGTGGCCTTTGCTAAGAGCCCAGATGCTGCTTTGGTCCACATCCATCGTCCACCAGCATTCAGACCTGCTCAGGGTGGCGCAGGCCCTGATGAGGCTCAGGACACGGGTCTGCAGCAGCTCCGCCCCCCACACAGAGGGGGCTCCAGCAGCTCAACTGGCAGGAGCCTCTAGAACAGCGATTTTCAACTGGCACGCCACAGGATTTTTTAAAATGTACTACCTGACTATCTGCGGCACTGACCTCTTTTTTCTTAGATCGTCAAAAGAAAAAATGACAACATCCCACACAACAATAGCCATCTGATGTGAATAAATCAAAATTATACCTATTTTTGTCAGACTTGCAAAAATATATATTTTTTGGTGTGCTGCAGAATTTTAGTAATTAGTTGACGTGAGCCATGAGGTTAAACAGGTTGGAAGTTGCTGCTCTAGAACAGAGGAGGGTATATGGGAGCTCCAGAAGTGAATGAGGGGTGTGCAGAGCCCCAGAAATGTCTCCAAACAGAGACATCTGGTCGGGGGGGAGTTAGAACTTCTGCCCATCCTGGGTTGGCTGCCTGTGAGAGACTCTATTTGAACTCCAGCTGCACTAGGGCTGGGGCTACCAGCAGCGCTGGGGCTACCAGCAGCGCTGGGGCTTCAGGCCCGGAGTTGGGGGTGGGACTGGCACCCTCCAGCTCCTGTGAGCCAAAGGGTCACCCCTGTCACAGTTAGGGCCTGGGTTAGGGGCAGGCGTCATGGTCCCATGCCTTTGCTACCACAGCACTGACTTGCCCTGACCTGGGGGGGAGGAGTGATGTCCTCTGGGCCTCAGTTTCCCCTTTTGAGCAAATGGAGAGGGAGGCATTTCTGACTCTGGAATGCCTGGCTCTCTCTTCCCTCGGGTGCCAGCAGCCTCAGCCCTTCCCTGCCCCTCTCAGGTCACCACCACAGCAAGGAGTACGTGGAGATAAACCCCCTGAGGAAGCTGCCCAGCCTCAAAGATGGAAAGTTTATGTTATCTGAAAGGTAACGGAGCTGGAAAAGTGGGCGTTTGTGCTGCCTGTCACCACCAGAGCCAGTGAGCAGGGACAGGGATGGACTCTTTACTGGCGCTTTGTTCAGAGGGCCGGTGAGCTGAGGAGATGGCTAGTTATGTGCCCTCACAGACCGTCTCACATCTCATCTCAAGCCGACATTTTTAATAAGGAAGAGGAGAGGGTCGGTAAGGGGTTTGGAATTCAGGAAAAAGTTAATCAGACAAAAGTGGCAGTCTCGCAATTTCTCTAGCATCCTTTCATCTGCTGGTGACTTTTTATCTGCGTCCTGGTCGGCTGACGTTGCCTCCCTAGGGCGCCATGGCTCAGACACCACCCTGGGGCTCAGACAGCCCTCCTGGGGTGCAGGAGTCAGGGTAGATCTGGTGTGCACTCTAGTTCTGGGAACGATAGCTTTCTACACACTTTAATCACCAAGGCTATTAACTATATAACTAAAGCTAAAAAATTTTTAGCCCTTGAGTTCCCCCATCACTAACAGTCTTCCGGGGGCCCTTCTGCCGTCTGTCTCTGTTCTTCCTGGGGGGTTAACCCGGAGCTGACCTCCTAGTGCTGACTTACTTCTTTTGCTTCTTTAGTGTGAAAATTTCACACTGAAGTGGACAGAATACTAACTAATGAGGAATTCAATGACCCCAGGTACCCTCACCCAGCTCCAGCAGGTGTCCACTCAGGGGCCCATTTCGCACCATCTGCACCCCACTCTATTTCCCTGACTCCTGGCCGCCCCGTTATTTCATCCATAAAGTTAGGAATGTACTTCTAATAGATAGGGCCCTTTCCAAGAAAAACGAAGCACAAGAACCCCAAACCACTACACCACCACAACACCATGATGGCATCTAATAAAATGAACAACACCCCCTGGGTTTCACCCAATATCCAGTTCACATTCCAAAGTCTCTGATTATCTCGCAACTCCCTTCGCAGTTTGTGTGTTTGAATCGGGGTGCAGACGACCTGTGTGCACGGCAGCTGGTGGATCCATCTCCTAAACCTTTCAGTCGGCTGAAAGGTGACATTTTTGTTGTGGTTGAGGAAACCAGGCCCTTTGTGCTGTGGTGTTTCCAAAGTTTGAGTTTTGCTGATTGGGTTCTCATGGCGTCGTGGAACATACGTATGTATTTTTGTCCCTTCATTTCCTGTAAATGGGAAGTGGATCTAGAGTTTTGGTGAGATTTAGGGCTGATTGATTTTAAGACTGCTTCACAGGTGGTCTCATAATTTTAAAGTGTCTCTCCCAAGCTGACCAGGGACCTTGCACTTTCTTAAGGTCGCTATAGCAAAGTACCACCAGCTGGCTGGCTTAGAATAGCAGAAATGTGCTTTCTCACAGTCTGGGGGGCCATGAATTCAAAAGCAAGGTGTTGGTAGGGGCATGTGCCCCTGCAAGGGCTGGCAATGACCTGTGCCGGACCTCCCCCCTAGATTCCGGCAGCCTCAGGAGTTCCTGGACTGGTAGCCACGGTCGCCCTGTGTCTCTTTCCATTGCCTTCCCTCTGTGTATGTCTTCATGTCCAAAAGTTTTCTTTTTGTAAGGACACCAGTCATATTCAATTAGAGTCCACACTAAAGACCTCATTTCAGCTTGATTACCTCTGTAAAGACCCTGTTTCCAAACATAGCTGTGTTCTGAGGCACTGTTCATTAGGACTTGAATGGAGGAACACGATTGAACCCATGAGAGTCTGCCCTCTGGCCCACCCAAATTCGTGTCTGCCCACTCTTCTTCCAGCCATGCTTTCTGACTCCCTTCTCCAAATTTACCACCTGTTCCCTGTCTAGACCGCCCTTCCCGATGCCTTCCACCAACTCCCACTCACCCTACAGGTCCGCCTTCCTTCCCTTGCTGACTAGCAGACTGATGGCCTTTCCTGGGGCCTTTGGCTCATCCTTCCCCTGGAAGAATGGCAGCACCTGTGGCTGGAAGCCCTGCATTGGGTCCAGGCCACGCTGTGGTGGCAGTCAGTGCAACAGAGCTGGGGAAGGCAAGAGCTGTGCCCTGACCGGTCCTTTCCACAGCGTGGCCATCCTCCTCTACCTGTGCCGCAAGTACAGTGCTCCCTCGCACTGGTACCCACCAGACCTGCACACGCGCGCCCGCGTGGACGAGTTCATGGCCTGGCAGCACACAGCCCTTCAGGTGCCCATGAGCAAGATCCTCTGGATCAAGGTGAGTGGGTCACTGCTGGGGCTCTTGGCTGCGAACTTGAGCAAGGATGCCTTCATCCCTGAGCCTCATTCCCATTCCCCCAGCTCCTGTCCCTCCCGCCTTCCAGAGCTCTTAGGAGTGTGGGGTGAACCTCGGGGCCAAGGGGAAGTGCCGCTGGGAGGGGGAGCTCACTCACACCAGGAGAGGGCTCAAGAAATTTCATTCCGAACTAGAATATATCAGAGTCGAAGGGTCCATAGAGCCCACCGACTTGACGATGACAAACACAGGTGTGTGCCACTTAACGACAGGGATGTGTCCTGAGAAATTCGTTGTTGGGCGACTTTGTTGCTGTTCGAACGCCATATAGGACACCTAAACAAACCTAGATGGTGCAGCCGACTACTTGCTCAGATGACACGGTGCAGCCCACCCCTCCAAGGCCATGAGCTTGCACAGCACGGCACTGCATGAAACGACACAACATTAGATCAAGCACAAGAAAAAAACGATGCAGTCGGAGATGTGATAAATGCCAGACCTGTGAGGCTACAGCTGGCGCAACACAGCACACTGTTCCACAGCAAACTTTTTTTTTATAAATAGAAAGAATATGCTTTAAAAAACTATAAGAGTACAGCATAGTAGCCCTGGCTGATGTAGCTCAGTGGATTGAGCGCGGGCCTGCGAACCAGACAATCATGGTTCCATTCCCAGTCAGGGCACATACTGGGGTTGCAGGCAGGTTCCCTGCAGGCCAGTTCCCGGCAGGGGACGCATGAAAGGCAACCATACATTGATGTTTCTCTCCCTCTCTCCTTCTCTTCCCCTCTAAAGATAAATAAATAAAATCTTTAAAAAAAAGAGTATAGCATAGTAAATACATAAACCAGAGTTATTTACTGTAATTATCAAGTATTATATTCTATACATAATTGCATGTTCTATATTTGCACACACCTGGCAGTGCAGTAGGTTCACTTACGCCAGCATTAGCACAGACAGGTGAGCCATGCACCGCTGTGAGGCCACTGGTCGATCAGAATTTTCAACTCCATGATAATCCATGGGATCACCGTCATGTGTGCTCCATCACGGTGCGTGACAGTAACGAGTACATGTGCCAGTGTTTTCTTACCCTACACCTGTGACAGACCTCCCTCATCAATCACAGGATTCTTTCCTGCCTGGATCTCAAGATTCTTCTGAACAATGGCCTCAGGTCACTTATACCAACCAGATGGCCTGAAAGAGGTGAAACCACTTTCATCCTTGGTTCTGTCCAACATCTCTCCAGCAGGCAAGGGTACTGAGGCGTGGAGGGTCAGGCCTGAGGCGCTAGGGTGCAGCCTCCTCTTCCCCCCTCTCCCCAACCCCGGCCAGCTGCTGATCCCGAAGATCACAGGGGAGGAGGTTCCAGCTGAGAAGACGGAGGAGATGCTCGCAGAGGTGAAGAAAAACCTGCAGCTCTTCGAGGAGAAGTTTCTGCAGGACCAGATGTTCATCACTGGGAATACCATCTCACTGGCGGACCTGGTGGCCCTGGTGGAGATGATGCAGGTGTGGAGTTTGGCGGTGGGGGGACAGAGTCCAGGGCAGAGGGGGGGACACCCCCTGTGACCAGTGGGGCCGTGACTTAAAAACAGGCTGGTGAAGAGGCAGACATGGAACTGTGGCAGCCAAGCCTGGGTGGTGGGACTTGGTCTGGGGACAACAGGAAACACTAAGTTTTGAACCAGGGAAGGTCACTATCATCCATGCTTCACAATAATCCCTTGGCGTGGAGGGGCCACAGGCGGAGGGCAAGCCTGGACCAGGGAGAAGAAGACCACGGCCTTGGTCAGTCAGCCAGGATCCTGAAGGTTTCAGCCTTCTGACAGACTCTCCAGGCAGTGTCCAGAAGCTTCCAGAATGACCTGCTGCTGAAGCACCTCTTTTCTAGAGCTCTGAATAGCCGCACAGAGCAGCTCCTTTGGCTCTGGGTCTGACAGGCACCCATTGTGCATTTGGGGGCATACCTGGGTGGGCGTCATTTATGTAGCATCTTCATGCAGGGGTGTGTGGCTGATTCTAACCTAGACCCTGGCCAGTGTCTTGCAAGGCCAGCATAACCTCTGGCCAGTTGCAAAGTGGCCACCCAGTCTTTGGTCAATGTGCACTGCAGATCAACACCAGGAAAAACCATTCCAGATTTTCTGTCCCAAGTGGTGTAGCCCCTGTGTTCACATGTAGCCCCTTACATTTCTCCCACCCCACCCTCTTATGGGTCTCCTGAGCATCTTGAGTTTCCCATTCCAGCACCTTTGCTTGACCACAGAGGGAGGGTCAACAGGGGGGAGAAGTGATTCCTTCCACCCTTATCTGGGGACAAGGGGTTTCTCTGGAAGAAGGCAGGACCCATGGGGGGCTTCACACTGGAAAAGCAGGAGCCAATTGGGCCAGGGTTCACCTCAGAGAGGGATTCAGGGGACTTAGAGCAAGACCAGTGAACAAGGACCCTGGGGGATTCTGGGTCTTCCCTCCCCATCCCACATCTATTACAGAGCCTGTGACCCCTTGTCCAGGCCTCAGGATGAGCAGACTCACTGAGGCTGCAGGAGGAGAGCAGGGGGTGGGGGGAAGCTGGTCTCCAGGCTGACCATGCCTTCCACTTTGTCTATCCACAGCCCATGGGGGGTGACCACAACGTCTTCCTTAACAGCTCCAAGCTGGCCGAATGGCGCATGAGGGTGGAGCTCAGCATTGGCTCCAGCCTCTTCTGGGAGGCCCATAACCGGCTGGTGAAGCTGGCGGAGTGGGACTGTTCAACGCTGGATCCGACAGTCAAGGAGAGGATCTGTGAGTTGCTGCAGAGGTTCAAGTAGAGCAACTCATGCTGCAGGGCCCAGTTGGCTCAGCCCTCTGGCGCTCTTTCCCTGGGAGAGATGCTGAACACAACTCTGTGTCTCTGCCTAATAAAGAACTGGACAACCACCATGGCTGGTGAGCCTGCAGCAGTTGGTGTGAGCGTAGGGTCTGACGTGGGAGTGGGCAGCAGTGGCTTCTCCCAGCTCCCAAAAGAACTAAAATATTAAGGGTTAAAAAATGACTAAACTGTCAGTAGTAATAATTAATGATTTCAGTACTCCACTATCAGTAAAATATAGAATAACAAGAGAGAAGATCATCAGGGAAATGGAAGACTTGAACATTATAATCCATTTGGATCTACTACATGTATGCACAGAACACTCCACTGAAGAACACCAGAACAGCCTTTGCTGGTGTGGCTCAGTGGATTGAGCGCCAGCCTGCAAACTAAAGGGTTGCACGTTCAATTCCAAGTCAGGACACATGCCTGGGTTGCAGGTCAGGTCCCCAGTAGGGAGTGCTCAAGGAGCAATCACACAGTGATGTTTTTCTCCCTCTCTTTCTCCCTCCCTTCCCCTCTCTAAAAATAAATAAAATCTTTAAAAAATAACAGCAGAATAAAAACATTCTTTTCAAGGGCATGTGGAATATTCTCCACGACAGACCGTACGTTAGGCCATAAAAATCTCAACATGTTTAAACTGATTGAAATGTTTTTTTTGAAGACTTTAAAAAATATTTTATTTATTTTTTTAGAGAGAGGAGAAGGGAAGGGAAAATAGAGAAAAAGAAACATCATTGTGTGGTAGCATCTCACGCATTCCCCATTGGGGACCTGGCCTGAAACCCAGGCATGTACCCTAACTAGGAATCTAACCAACTATCCTTTAGGTTTGCAGCCCGAGCTCAATCCACTGAGCTAAACCAGCCAGGTCAACTGAAATCTGTTTAAACAACGTATATTCTCTGAACACATGGACTAAACCAGAGAGTCCTGCTCCAGACTCCATGCTCTTAGCTCCATACTCCACAGATCCTGGTTCTAGCAAGCGTCAAAGCCTTGGGACTGATGGTCAGCGTTTTGTGATGACTCTTTTCACTCCAGTTGCACAACGGGCAGGGGCGGGTGGGGGGGGGTTTGACAGCTTTGGTCTACCAGCTTCTGTCAGCACTTTCCCTGTTTTTTTTTTTTTTTTTTCCTTCTCTGGGCCTCAGTTTTTCCAGCTTTAAAAACAAAATGATGAAGAGATATCCAGCAATCCCACTTCTGGGAATATATCCAAAGGAAATAAAAACGGGATATCTGAAAACTTTCTGGGTCTGTATTCACTCCAAGTGCCTTAATTTCCTCATCTGTAAAATGGGGACAACAGGAAATTCTCATACGTGTTAATCGATGAAAACTTGAAGCCATTTTTCTAAATTCAATGAGCCAGTCACAAAGGGCTTGGACTGGGACCCTCTGCACGACCCTTGGAGGGGTGACCACTGCTTCCCCACCCATCTGGCTGGGCTGCACCAGCAGTTGGACCAAAGCACTCAGGCGCCTGGAGCTGCCCAATGAGGAATGGCCACAAAGGGGCGTGGCCACGCTGCGTAATCCGGGCCTATGTCCCAGGACTCAGTTTGCTATATCTCAAATTTGGTCCCACCGCCCCCCACCATGGGTCTGCAGCTCTACCTGGACCTGCTGTCCCAGCCCTGCCGCGCCATCTACGTCTTCGCCAAGAAGAACGGCATCCCCTTCGAGCTGCGCACCGCGGAGCTGCTCAAAGGTGGGCCTGTCGGGGTTTCGGGGGCCTAGAGGTCGGGTAGGAACGGGGAGGCCAAACATCGCTTAGGGGTACCCTTCCCTGCACCACCTCCTTCCTGGAGCCATTGCCAAAAAAAGTGAACCACGGGGAAGATCCGAGATTCTAATAATCCTCCAAACTCTGAGAAGACTGGACTCAGCCTAGGCCACGTAAAGGGGCGGGGTCGGGGAGGTCACAGAGAAAGAAGGAGAGACCTGGCGAAGAAAGGGACGCAGCTGGCTCTAGGGACAGGGGATCTCTGGAAAAGAGAGGAGGGCGGGAGGAGAGGGGTTAAGGCGTCCAAGTGTAGAGACTGGGACAGCTCAGTCCCTCCTTTGTGGTCTCCTGAAATTCGCAACTGCTGAAATTCCCAACAGCAGGCACTGCCCCAACTTCCCAGCCCTGCCCTCTGCACCGGCCTAGTCTGCACTGGAGTCCCTTTCGGTGCTCTCCTCCTCCCTCTCAAGTGTCGCCTTTATTCGCCCTTCTGTTACTCTTTTTCCTGGTGCAGAGGGGACACTCCATGGGGGTGTACTGGGAGCAGAGAGGGTTGTGGGGGCTCGATGAACCCTGTACCCTGAGCAGGAGGATTTGTTTCTCTGTCAGGCCCCCAAAGCCCCGAGGACACACAGGCATGCTGAGTTCCTGGCATTTGGGTGGCACTGGGTGTTCTACACCCAAGTTGCTTGGGGAGAAAGTAGGGCGACTCTACTTGGCCGAGCCTTCCACCCAGCGCTGCCCCACCACACCTTTGTGCGTTTGCACTGGCCCTTCTGCCTGAATCATCGTCCCTTCCCAGCGAGCGTCCTCTGTGGGCTGCCACTTGTCCTGCCCGGGGGTTTCCTCTGCAGGGTGTGGGGCAGGAGAGAGGGCATGAGGACAAAGGGATGTCAAATAGAGGGGTGCACAGGGAGATGTGTCTCACCAGGAGGGGAAGGCACAGTTTGGAGGGAGGGAAAAGGGAGGACTGTGGGTGTGGGGGAGGCTGGAGGGTTGAGGCAGTTGTGTGTGGTTTTGAGGAGCCTTCCCAGATCCTGAGGTAATGGGGAGCCATGGAAGGCTGTTGAGCAGGGAAGGGATGAGACTTGAGTGCCACTCAGAAGCTTCTCTCTGAATGCATCTGCAGGAGCAGAAACCTCTCAGATAAACTCAAGCAGAGGCCAAAGTCCTGTGGGGAGTAGGGGTTGGGACCCTGGGCTGTAACTTTGGGTGCTGTGGGGAGGAACAGAATGCTCCAGCTCCAGCTCCAGCTCCAGCAGAGTCTAAAGCCAGGGCCAGCTCTGTGTCCCCAGTGCTCAGAGAAAGGTGAGCAAGAGAACACAGAAGGGCCAGTAGAAGCTGGCTGCAGTTAAACTGATATCAGGAAAAGGCTGTTTCTCTGTGTTTGGTGGCCCTACTAAGGGTACTATAGGAAGTCCGAGCTCAGCCACTCTGCACTTGAAGCTTGGGACACCCCAAATATGAATTCATGAAGCTGATGAGGATGCAAAGACGGTGGGTGGGGTGTGTATGAAAGCCCACCTGCAGCACCATGCCCTGAACCCTGAGCTGTGTTGCAGACGGGTGTTCTGTGGGGAGATGTTATGCCCCCTGGGGCTCGCCAAAGGGGGTCCAGGCCTATTGGCAGCACCTGGCAGAGCAGCTTCCGGCTTTTTCCATAGTGGCCTCCACCAGCCTTTGCCATGCAGGAAAGCGGCTGCGGGCTGGGAAACAGCTGTGAAATCGGGGCCTGGGCATTGCAGGGAGTGGGCATGGGCCTCCCAGGGCTCAGCGTTTTCCTCTTACTGCCTGCAATGATGCACTCTCTGCAGGCCAGCACCTCAGTGATGCCTTTGTCCAGGTGAACCCCCTGAAGAAGGTGTCTGCTTTAAAAGACGGGGACTTCACCTTGACAGAGAGGTAACCAAGGCCCTGGGCTGCTACTGGACCTCGTTGGAATCATCTTGTCCTAACCCTCTACTTTATAGACAAAAACAACTAATGTCTTTAGAGGTGAAAAGCCCTTTCTTTACCCAGTATGCCACCAAGAGTCAAGGCTGGAACGCAAGCCCCTGCCTATTTGCTGGACCAGCCCCAGGGATGTATTTTACTTCTGTACTCATCGTGTGATTTTGGTGAGAGCACCCCGGAGAGGGAGTCAGGGCAGGAGGTAGCAGCATTAACCCCGGAGAGGCAGCTCTCTGGCCAAACTTGTATGGAGGCGGCCCCGGGGTGTCCGGCTACTTGGTGGCCTCAGCTCCCAGCTGCAGCTTCCCTGAGTGGGCCTCACCCGTGGGAGGACCCCCTGCACATGTGGACATTTTGTATCACAACAGATCCCAAGGAGTGGGAGCCTCCTTAGGGAAGGTCAAACCTTTTTTCTGCCCCTTTTGTCACCTACGTCACCCTCCCACAAGGACAACTCAGAGCTTTGGAACTCTTCTCTGGAATATGGAGGTGAATGCACCCCCAAAGAATTCCTCCGACAGTCTGCCAGTGCCGTCTTCCACCCCCCCGGCGGCCCCTCCTCTCCCGAGTCCTTGTGTCTCCTGGTGTCCAGCGCCCACGGGCATCTGCTAGGGGCAGCATGCAAATATCTATTTCTCTGTCTCTTCTCTCTGCCTCGGGAGGTCTGTGGCTCCCAGGGACCTCCACCCTCCTGAGAGTGGCTGGGCACAAAGGGAGCTGTGGAGAACCTTGTGCAGACAGGCGAGTGGTTAGGCTTGGGTGTGGGGGCAGGATTCCTGACAGGAAGACGGGCCAGTGGCACATACAGAGGTTTTTCTGCTCTTTTGGCTGGGGTGTCCAGCCCTTGGGGTACCCCAAGTTCCTAAAAGCCTTCCTGTGCCCCACATTCACACATCCCCTGTGCCCTTCCTGGTATATCCTTGTCCCAACTCCATGGCAGCCCCCAGAACCCAGGGCAGGAGGAGAGCCCCAGGGGCCCGGTCTGTTCTGCTGCTCCACGATCCTGCAGCAGCCCCAGCATTTCCTCCAGGAACACAGAGGGATGGCAAGGAATGAAAAGGGATAACAGGAAGGACTTTGTGAACAGTCAGGCCATCTGACACTGGTTTGAATGCCGATAATGACACTAGATGCAGACTGGAAAGAACTGAACTTCTTCCGGTCTAGCTCTGATGCCGTCTCCTTGAGTACCCTCTAGCTCTGAGTACCCTCGGGAAGCTCTCTGGCCTTCCCGTCAGAAACTGTCTCTGAGCACAGCGTCTGATGGGACACTGCGCTGTAGAGTTTTGCCTCGTGGGAGGATGAGCTTGGGCATTAGCCTCAGACTCTCAGCCCTGCTGCCACCAAAAGCTGTGTGCCCAGGGCAGGTTTCTTCACGGTTCTAAGTCTGGCTTCCTTGTCTGGAAAATGAGGCAAATACCTGGGCATGTTGTCAGGAAGACTAAGGAAGGGACTCTGTATGAAACCTCTAGCACCGTGCCTGCCCACCTCCAGCATGTCCCCCCTTCCCCTGCAGCGTGGCCAGTCTCCTCTACCTGACACTGAGTATCAGGTCCCTGACCACTGGTACCCTGAGGACCTGCAGGCTCGTGCCCGTGTGGATGAGTACCTGGCGTGGCAGCCGGTGGCTCTGTGGAGAAACCGCCTCTGGGCCCTGTGGCATATAAGGTGAGGCCCTGGGCGGGGCGGTGAGGGCATTGCCCCAGAGAAACTCGGGTACCCTCGCGTTCTTTCCAGTTTGGAGGGGTCCTAACACTCCGACCTTCACTTCACTGATTCTTTGATCTGTTCTGCTCGGGTTGCTGCTAAACCCATCTAATACATTTTTCATCTGAGATAGTACTTTTTCATTTCTAGAAATTCCATTTGGTTCTTTTTTAGAGTTCCCTTTGCTCTGCTGAAATTCACCATCTGCTCATTTGTTTCATTCATCTTTTCTTCTAAGTTCTTAAATACATTTATAATAATTACTTCAAAGTCTTTGTCAGCTAATTTCAACATCTGGGTTCTCAGCGCGTCTGTTTCTATTAGTTGTTTTTTATTCTTTTGAATAATGGGTTGCATTTTCCTCTTTCTTTTTCTTTAAATTTAATTTATTTATCTTTAGAAGGGAAGGAGAAAGGGAGAGAAACATCAATGTATGGTTGCCCCTTATGGGAACTGACCTGCAACCCAGGCATGTGCCCTGACTGGGGATCGAATCTCGATCCTTTGGTTCGCAGGCCCACACTCAATCCACTGAGCTACACCAGCCAGGGCAAATTTTCCTCTTTCTTTAGATGTTTTATCATTTGTTATTGTGTGCAATACATTATGTATAAGGCTAGAGGTTGAAGTACATAGTACTCTAAGAAGGAGCTTGCACTGTTGACAGGGAGCCTGGGTGGAGGTTAATCTCTTACCGCTAATCAGCACTGGGCTGACTGGCAGCTTTAGTTTCTGGTCATCTTTGGTTTTAGGTATCTTGAGGGTGGGATCAGATTCCTTAATTGCCCCAGCCGGGATTTGGAACCTAAGCACCAACTACAGCCTTGAGATCTGCCCACTTTTCAACCCCACCCTCCGTTCCCCACGAGACTACTTAGAAAAATCCCACGCAGATGGTGAGCTTGAATCCTGCCTGCTTAGCCCCAGGGAAGAGAGTGGCTCGTCTTGGAAGGGCTCTCGACCCCCTGGAATGCAGTCCATTTAGTTCAGTGCGGCACAATGGAACTATAAAGTGAGCCGCATATATAGTTTTCCATTTTTTAGTAGCCACATTAAAAAAGGTAAAAAGAAACCGGTGAAATGAATATAAATTCAGGAAACAGGTGACATTACTTATAAACACATGAAAAGATGCTCAGCATGGCTAGTTATTAGGGAAGTGAGAATTAAAACTACAGTGAGATACCACCTCACACGCGTTGAGATGATGTATACCAGAAAATAATAAAGGTTGGTGAGGATGTGAGGAAACTGGAACTCTTGCGTACCGTTGTTGGTGCAGCTGTGGAAATCGGTATGACAGATCCTCAAAAAGTTAAAAGTTGGATAAATGGAGATGGAGACTTGACTTGGGGTGGTGAACACACAATATAACATACATATGACGTATTATAGAATCGTACCCCTGAAACCTATATAATTTCATTAGCCAAGGTAACCCCAATAAATTCTATAAAAAAGTTTTAAAAATTCAATTATGAGATGGTCCAGCAATTCCACTTCTGGGTGTAAACCCAGAATAATTGAAAGCAGGGCCTCAAAGAGACTTCTCACTCCTGTCCTTAGCAGCATTATTCACGATAGCCAGAAAGTAGATCCGGTGTCTGTGCTCATTGACAAATGAATGGTTAAACAAAGTGTGGGACAAACATAACATGAGATATCGTTCAGTCTGAAGAAGGATTGGACTCATGATAAACGTGGATGAGCCCTGAGAATATTATGCCATGTGAAATAAATAAGCCAGACAGAGAAGGACAAATGATGTGTGACTCCACTTATGGGAGGTACCTAGAGTAGTCAAATTCACAGAGAGAGAAACTAGAGTCAGGGCTGCTCGTGGCTGCTGCAGAGGGAAGAATGGGTATGAGTTTACTGGAGACAGAGTTTCAGTTTTGCAAGATGAGAAGAGTTCTGGGGAGGGATGGTGGCGACAGTGGCCCCCGAACGTGGAGCACTTAATACCGCTCAACTGAACACTTAACATTGGTTAAAATGGTCCCTTTTATGACATAATTACCATAATTAGAATATTTTAGCCCTGGCTGGGTAGTTCAGTGGGTGAGAGCGTTGTCTGCGTACCTGAAGGTTGCAGGTTCAGTCCCCAGTCAGGGCAACTCACAAGAAACAACCAATGAGTGAGTGCGTCAGTAAGTGGGACAGCAAGTCGGTGTTTCTCTTTCTCTTCCTTCTCCTCTCTTTCTTCCTCCCTTAAAGTCAATAAGTAAAAAAAAAATTTGTAATTTTAAGTGCCATTTTCAAATGTAGCCAATAGAAAGTTTATTGATGGAATATCTTGCATTCTTTTTTTCTTCCTTTTTTTGGCTCTAAGTTCTCAGCATCTGGTGGTGTGTTTTGCATGTATAACACACCCAAGACCAGCCACACTTCTCAAGTTCAACAGCCACTTGAGTCTAGTGGCTATAGTTCAAGTTTAGGCTTTTTTCTTTTTTTGTTCTTTTCTTTCCTTTTTATGAAAGTGCTGTAACTTTCTGGTGGCTTGAAAGAAAAATAAGGTTATTTTCTTTCCAGGATGGTTGTGGTGGGACTAATTGTTTTGTGTGTGACTGTTGATATCCTAATCAGAAGAAGGACTTCTCATTTAAAAAAAAATGTAAGGCTAATTCTGGATCATGAGCTTTATTGCCCTGACTCATTGAAGGGTCACGAATTGAAGGGTCGCAGGTTCCATTCCCAGTCAGGGCACAGGCCTGGGTTGCGGGCCAGGTGCCCAGCAGGGTGTGCCCAAGAGGCAACCACACATTGATGTTTCTCTCCTTCTCTTTCTAAAAATAAATAAAGTCTTTTAAAAAATAAAAGCAAGAAGCTTTTTAAAAATGTCTGTAAAAAAAGAAATAAACATTAGAGAACAAAAGTCAAAAGACCTCTTTGTTGTCCTCAATCCTTCCCGAGAGCCACCGGGATCTGGCGTGAGTCCTTCCAGCACAGGATTCTATCCATCACTTCGTGTAGGTGTAGCTATAACCAAAATACAGTTTTACTTTGAATGTGTAAACGTTTATACAAATGCTCTGAGACCACTCTGCAACTTGCATCTTTTTTGTATTGCAATAAGTGGCTATAATTTATTAATTTTTAACTATTCATAGTATTTCATCATGTGAATACATCAGAATTTATTACCCTCTCGTGGTCTTTTATATATAAAGAGAAACAAAACCACTTTTTAAAACCCTAAGAACTTTGGAACCACCAAATCGGAACCGAAGTGTGGACCGTCTCTTGCAAGTGCAAGGCAGGTAGGTGATAAACGGGGGAGGCGGGTCCAGTGGACTGAGAGCCCAGGTGCCCCTCCTGAAGGAGCAGCTTCTCTCTGCATCCGCCTTAGGTGCCGAGAAGAGTTACCAGGTAGCAATGGTGACCCCATGTGGCCAGCTCCCTTTGTCAAAAAGAAATTGGAAATCCGGACTTCTATAGGAAATGTCTCCATTTTTAAAAGTCAACAGCTGATCCATATTTTTAAAAAATTCTTTAGCCAAAGGAATATCATTAGCTCAGCACTGGCCTCCGGGTCACCAGTGTGTGATCCCTACTCTTCCCTTGTTGTATGGGGGTGGGAACTGAAGCCCTGTGCCCGGGTCCGAGCATGGTCCCAGTCCCGTTTACCTTTCCCAAATCCCAGGCTCCTCCAAGCAACTCTGCTGCTCCCAGAATGAAGCCCAGCATGAAGCCCCCTCCTGTGCTCCCTGTCCCACTGTGTCTCAGTGACAGCTGTCCAGCCTGAGGCTGTTGAGAGCTTTGCCCTAAAATGCCCTCCTCCCTAAGTTCTGGACACGTTTCTTCCCTGGTTAGCTCACTGGGTCAGAAGATGTTCTACACTTGGCTGAGTCTTTTCTTGGCTGTGCCATCTCTGGAAACTGACTGTCCCTTTCTGGGCCTCACTTTTTTATGTACAATATGAGTCATGTACTGTTATTCCTATATCATAGATGAGGGCACTGAGGCTCAGAGGGTTTGCAGATTTTGCCCTAGGTCACACGGTTTGTGACAGAATGGAGACCTTAAAAGCCCACACTACTAATTACTTATCCTGTGAAAGGGATTGATTTTTATATCAGGAGAAAAGAGGTTATGAAATATGTAGTTTCAAAGCAAGGCTCCTCCCCTCCACCAAAGTTCAGGTTTCCTTTGAGTCATTATTCACGGGGTTTGGCTGAGCCTCCTCAAAAGCTGAGGAGGCTCAGCCAATCAGAGCTCATGGGAGTAGGAATAGTTCAGGAAAAAGGGATCCTTTGGGAATTTTCCTGCAACCCTACCCAGGACATGGAAGAAAGGTGTATGGAGCCAGAAAGCAGGTCCAAGGCCAGGGTTGGGCATTGCTTGCCTTTCCTGATCCCAAGGCTGGGCTGGCTCCCCACTGTCCCCTGCTTTGCCTGTCCATCCACCAGGTGATGTTCCCTGTGTTCCTGGGTGACCCTGTATCTCCCAAGATGCTGGCAGCCACATTGGCTGAGTTGGATGTGACCCTGCAGATACTTGAAGACAATTTCCTCCAGAACAAGGCCTTTCTCACAGGGCCCCACATCTCCCTAGCTGACCTGGTAGCCATCACGGAGGTAATGCACGTGAGAACAAGGGTAGGGTGGGCCCACCAGGCAGGGTGGGTCCTGCTCATGCCAACCCTCCCACCCAACTGTGGGACTGTACTTATTTATGGTAACCTCTTCTGGAGCTATGTGGTCCCCAAACTAGGCAGATGCTGTCGTTCTTGGCCTCACCTATCCACCTATCCATCCTGTCCTGTCTACTTTTCCCTACAGCCTGTGGGTGCTGGCTGCCAAATCTTTGAGGGACAACCCAAGCTGGCTGCATGGTTCCAACGTGTGGAGGCAGCAGTGGGAGCGGTCCTCTTCCAGGAGGCACATGAGGTCATCTTGAAGGCCAAGGACATAGACCCACTTGCAGACCCTTCTATAAAGCAGAAGCTGATGCCTAACGTGCTGCCCATGATCCGATGAGACAGGAAGCCTTGCGCCTGCTCTGCCCTAGGCTGTTCCCAGAGCACCTGCACTTCAGTGTCGCATGGGAGGCAGACCCAGAGAGCAGAGCTGACTCGCCCAAGCCCCATCACTCCTCAGCCGAGGTCCCTAGCCCTACTCCATCTTCCACAGTCACCTGAAAGCCATGATGGGAATGGTTCACCCAGACCTTGTCTCCTTTAATCACCACATTTCGTTTTCAGTTTGGGAAATAAACCTTGGCTTAGCCTGAGCCTCTCCTTCTAACTCTAATGTGTGATTTGACCCTCCTTCTGCCCTGGCCCTGGTTTTGGTCTCTATCCAAAAGACAACCCCTGTTCCACAGCCCTGTGTGTCAGCTTCCCCCTGATAGTTGCCAATAATGAAATTAACAGCAGCTTTCTAGCCTTCTAATTCTTTTTTTTTGAATTTTTATTTTTTATTTTTATTTTTTATTGATTATTCCAGTACAGTTGTTCTATTCCCCCTTCATTCCCCTCCACCCTACCCCCCTGTCCCCACCATTCCCCCCCTTTAGTTTATGACCATGTGTCTCAAGTTCTTTAGATTCTGTATTTCCCATACTATTCTTGCCCCCCATCTATTTTCTATCTACTGTCTATGCTACTTATTTTCTGTACCTTCTCCCCCCTTCTCCTTCTCCCACTCCCCTGTTGCTAACCCTCCATGTGATCTTCATTTCTATGGTTCTGCTCCTGATCTAGCTGTCCTTTTAGTTTGCTTTTGTTTTAGGTGTGGTTGTTAATAACTGTGTTTGTTGTCCTTTCACTGTTCATGTTTTTTTTAACTTCTTTTTCTTAGATAAGTCCCTTTAATCTAGCCTTCTAATTCTTGCAGAAAGTGATTTGTCAGCATGGGGAACAACAGCCATTACCCATATGTTGGCTGTGGGCCTGGGGGTGGATCAGGTGGCTGGGCCAGCCGCCAAGGACGTAGCCCTTCAGCACCAAATACTACGAGTCCTGCATCCGTCCTGAGGAATTGGTCGGGGGAGGGGAAACTGAACAGCAGCACTCCTGGTTGTTACCAGTCCCACATTTTGAAAGGCCGAAACTCAAAATGACCGAGTTGGATAGAGTAAGGAAAGGTGCCAGCTGAGAAGATGGGAGCCTTATGCTTCCTCAGATTCATTTCACCAAAGTATAGAGTTCAGGCCCTGGCTGGTGTGGCTCAGTGGACTGAGTGCCGGCCTCCCAACCAAAGGGTCACTGGTTTGATTCCCAGTCCAGCCAAGTCCCCGGTAAGAAGCACGTGAGAGGCAACCACACATTGATGTTTCTCTCCTTTTCTTTCTCCCTTCCCCTCTCTAAAAATAAATAAAAAAAGAAAGGATAGAGTTCAGTCTTCTTTTATGTCAAGAAACAGGGAAATGGGAGGGGCTGTTTTTGTGAAACTCCAGTCTCAAGCAAAATTCCTCTGATGACGGGCATGTCTGTATGCAAGACTGAGCAGAAGCTATTAGCCTGGAGGCCATGGGAACAAAGCAGGCTTGAACAAGAGGGAGTCAGAGAGAGACCAAGCATTTCACTCTGTAGGGGTCAGGGCTCAGTCACTCAGAGCCTTGAATGTCATGCCTAGGATTTGTAAACCGTAAACGGGAATGGTGTGCTCAGACTGTGTTTGAGAATAATACTCTGGCTGCTGGTGCGGGTTGGACTGGAGGGTGGCCAAGAAGAAAGCAGGAAGATTGGATATCAGAGTAATCCAGTTGAAATTGACTTGCGGAGGTGGGCAGGCCACTGCAGGGGGTGGAGAACATGCCCCTTGCAGCCTGGAGAGGGCTGCAGCGCTGGGCCGGGAAGGCACTCTCCTGCCGGGGCCAGGGATAGGCCTTCCTTAACTGGGGAGCATGGGGCACTGGGGGGGGGGGGGGGGCATTGTTATTTTCAAGTTTTCTAGTAGCTGATCTTGCCAAGTGGCTATCTCTCAATCTTGAGTTCTGGGACAGAGTTTTCTTAACCCAGGAGGCTGTCTTAGAGATAAGGCATTATAGACACAGACCCCAGGAGCTCCAGTGTCACAGTTGAAGGGACTGGGCCCTGTTGAACAAGTGGGTAAGTTTTAGGCCCCCCCTGCAAGCCTCTAGCTGAGCCCCACAGGGCTTTTGCTTCCAGGAAGGGATTAACTGGAGTGTAATGGATGTGACTCTGTAACAAGGTGCAGCCAAGAGGGGGGGCCCAAAAAGGGATTTGGAATGGGGTCCAGAACTCAGGGTGTCTAGGAAATATTAGAAAGACGTATAAGATGTCCTCACACCTTCCCTGTGAGTTGGGGGAAAGGACAAATGGAGCAGGGCCATTGAGAGCTGTTTTGTACAGCAAAGGCTTTGCAGCTAACCTCTGGCATGGTCATTTAACTGGCTGCATAGGTATGTTAAATAGCTGAATAATATACTAATATTATTTAGCCATGTAAGAGAGAGAGCCACGCTTCTGGCAGAGTGGGGACCCCTGCAGCTTTAGTAGGGGGAACCACCATGTGGCTTTAGCAGAGAATCTCTCCACTCTTTGACAGAGTGGCGACCCCCCCCCCCCCCCGGAGGTTCTAGTGGAGGAAAGAACCATGCGGTTTTGGCCAGAGTGCAGACCCCTGCAGCCCTGGTAGAAGAGGACCATGTGGCTTTGGGGTGCTCCCTTTGGTCACATGGCCTGGGAAACAGAAGAGACTTTGCCTGGAAGAAGGGTGAAAGATCTTGCCAGTAGGCCATGAGAGGGTGCCGCATGGCTTTGTATTAATTAGAGATCCTGCCTGGACGGTGACACAGCTGATGGTGCCGGCAACCTGAAACACAGATGCCTACTGCTTTTCCTGAGTTACCCCAAACGCGGTAACTAGTACATTACCCCGGGGTAACTGAGTACCTAGTACCGTACCCTAAACTAGGGCAGGGGGAGAAGGAACCACTGTGGCTCTTCAAAAGAACTTTGATATTTAATGGGGACATCGGGTCACTACTTTAAGTCTATATAGCTTTAAATAAACCTTTCCTTTCCACAAATCTCTGGCACTGAGAGACATCTTCCCTCTAGTGCTGGACATAACAAACCTTGGCCCCTGCTTGTTATGTAACAGTTCCTGGCGTCCCTGGGTGGGTCAAATATTGCCCTCCCCCTTCACCTCTGTTATTTAACAACTCCAGAGATTGGGGAGGAACAGCTAATTCTTTCCTGGATTGTGGGTTAGGCCTCTTCAGAGAGCAGGTCCAAACTCTCTTCCCAGCTCCCCACCCACTGGGCACTGGGCACTGGGCACCGGGCACCGGGCACCAGGCCTAGGGGAGGCTGCTTCCCCCCACCCTCCCTTTGTCCTCTGCCCTAGTGTTCTCAGCGATTCCGACTCGGCCTCCTTCCCGGGTGGGGGAGGTGGCCTAAATTCACTGAAGACCAGTGCTGGAGCGCCCTTGGTCTCCGGTTTCCCATGGCCATTTCCCCTGTCCCATTTGACAAAGGTAGACATTTTAGGTCCAGAGAAGGGGTGTGCCCTGGCCCTGAGACCTCAGCTCAGTCTGATCTTTTCCCCTACTAGCTAGTAGATCTCCTTATGCCTCCCCAGCGAGAAAGCGGCCCCACTGGGGTCTCGGCCCAGACCCCGAGGGAAAGAGGTAGATTGGGAGCGCCGCTGGTTGGTCCAAAGTTCCCTGGAGCTATCCAATAGGCAGGGAGCTATCCAAAGTTCCCTGGAGCTATCCAATAGGCAGGGAGCTATCCAAAGTTCCCTGGAGCTATCCAATAGGCAGGGAGCTATCCAAAGTTCCCTGGAGCTATCCAATACGCTGCGGGACCCAGGCTCGGGGCAGCGCGCGAGTAATAGGCTCCGGTGGCGGGGCGGTTCTTGCCTGCCATTCCGTTTCTGGATCTGCCCCAGGTCTGCCCACGCTCCCACTTGAGTCCATCTGCTTCCTTCTTCATGGGTCTGGAGCTCTACCTGGACCTGTGGTCCCAGCCCTGCCGCGCTGTCTACATCTTCGCCAAGAAGAACGGCATCCCCTTCGAGCTGCGCACGGTGGAACTGTTCAAAGGTGGGCCTGGCTAGGGGTCTGGGCCGCCAGTGTGCTGATGCACTCTCGCCCGCCGGCGCGGCCTCACGGTCAGGTTGCGTGTGCGGACTCTCCGGCTCGGAAACGTAGCATCAATTATTTGGGTATTTTCAAAGAGCCTCGACCTTTACCTAGTGAAATCTAAACATTCTTTAAAATATAGGTTAAGCGCAGGTAGAGATCAGTAGAGTTGGGGGTGGGGATGGGGAAGTGGGGTGAGTGCCCCAGTACCTCTACACCGGGCCTTGGAGAAAACAATGAAACTGCCCCCTCATCTACTGCTACTCCCCATTTCTGAGTTTCTGCGTCTTCTGGGAGAAGGCTGTCCATCTGGATCTGTATGGCTGCATGCATGTGCCTTGTTGCTTCAGGAAATTTCTGTCCTCCCAAGCCCAAGACAAGAGGCTACTTGGCCCAGGTTCCGGGGGGGGGGGGGGGGGTCGACACAGGAATGGTGGCCCTCTGGTGGGGTCAGGGTCTGTGATTTGGTGATCAGTGGGGTGGCCTCCTCTTCCCTAGGGCCCCACCTGGATAGGGGCCTCAGAAACTTCCTGGATGCTGGATGGGGTTGGGCAGAGACCTCTGTCTCAGGGTTTCCCCTACTGCCTCTCTGGTCTGTCCCACAGGCCAGCAGTTCAGCGATGCCTTTGCCCAGGTGAACCCCCTGAGGAAGGTGCCAGCCTTGAAGGATGGGAACTTCACCTTGGCTGAGAGGTAATGGGTCCCTGGGAGGCTGCATTGCCCTGTGTGTGTGTGTGTGGGGGGGCAGCCAGCTAGCCCTGTGTACACTGTTGATGGCTTGGCTCATGGCTTATGTACCCTGAGCCACTGTGCCAGCCCCAGGGTGGAGGGTGGCTTGCTGTGGGCAGAGGTGCCAGGGCCGGGAGGGGGATCTGGTGTTGTTTCTGTCATGTTGATGCTTTGCATGTATTGGGGAGTGGAACTGGAGTTGTTCTCAGCCTTTAGGACCCATGCTGGTGCCCCTTTTTTGTGGAAGTTTTCTCTGAGTGCCCCCCTTCTGAAATCCCATTTCACTTGGTGCCCTCAGTTCAGGTGATAGATAGGATGACTCAGGGTAGAGCTGTGTGACCCTGAGAAGTCACCTAACCTCTCTGAGCCTCACATTCCTATTCTGCACCATGCAGATAGTGAAATATGCCACCCACAGGAGTTGGGGAAACACATGCCAGGAGCAGGGTCTGGCCCCTGTGGGGTAGCAGAAAAGTGACTGGGATGTCTCCCTCATCCCCGCTGTGCCTCCCAGTGTGGCCATCCTGCTGTATCTTAGCCGAAAGTATGAGACCCCCGACCACTGGTACCCCCAGGACCTGCAGGCCCGTGCCAGGGTGGACGAGTACCTGGCGTGGCAGCACACGGGTCTGCGGAATGCCTGCACCCGGGCCATGTGGCAGAAGGTGAGCTGGGGGGGGGCAGGGACCCCTCTCAGGATGCTCAGGGGACAGTGCTTTCCATTGAAAACATTATTTGGACTGAAGGCCTTAGAACACTGAACTCTAGAATGCCAGAGACTCTAATTAGCTAGTTTTTCTGAGGGGAAACTGAGGCCGAGTCAGGGAGTGACTACCCAATGTGCCTTAATTTCTGAGCTGCTGGAAATTAACCCTCTGCCCCTTTACTGCCTGGAAATATTGTCTTTTGGAAGAGAAAAGAAAAAAAGTCAAATCCTTGCTTTGCCACACACATACTTTCCAGACAGAGAGGTGTTATGTGAAAAGTGAAACCAAGAGAAATGAAGAGACATTTCAATAAATTTGATCTGGTTTCTGGATGTGCAAGGATATCTAAGCCTAAGAACAGCAGAAGACTTAAAGAAAAGCCTAGCCCTGGCTGGTATAACTCAGTGGATTGAGCACGGGCCTGAGAAGCAAAGGGTTGCAGGTTTGATTACCAGTCAGTGCACATGTCTGAGTTGCAGGCAGGTCCCCAGTAGGGGGCGTGCAAGAGGCAACCACACATTGATGTTGCTCACCCACTATCCTTCCCTTCCCCTCTTTCTAAGAATAAAATAAATATAATCTTAAAAAGGAAGAAAAGCCTAATTGACTTTACACATACAAGGAAATTTTGTGAAAGGACAAAAAGGATTAAATTTAAAATAAGCAAAAAACTGGGAAAGATCTTGGCAAAGGTATGTTAGAAAAAAGTAACATTAAAAAAAAAAGATTTTATTATATTTAGAGAGAGGGAAAGAGAGGGAGAGGGAAGGGAGAGAAACATCAATGTGAGAGAGAACTATCCATCAGTAGCCTCTCATATGTGCCTGTCCGGGGATGGAACCAACCACCCAAGCATGTGCCCTGACTGGGAATCAAACTGGCAACCTTTCACTTTGCGGAATGACGCCCTACCAACTGAGCCACACTGGTCAGGGCAAGAAGTAACATTCTTAACATTTAAGATGCTCTTAGACATCTATCACATGAAGGCACAGGAGGGAAAATGGGCAAAGGAAGCTAGCAGGGATTTAATGGAAGGACAGAGAAATGGTTAATAAATGGGTGAAAACATTTAACTTCAGTCAAACTCAAGAGAGGGCCTGGTGGTGAGGCCGTTGTTGTGAGGGCAGCGGGAGCGCAGACGGCCTTTTGCAGGGAAGAGATACGGGCATCCTGAGGTTGCAGAGGGATCCCCTGGCTGCTCTGTGTGAGGACCGGGGAGAGGAGGAGCTTGTCCCTGTTTGAGTAGGAGATGAGGCCCAGGCAGGTGGTGGATGTGGGTGGGAAGGAAAAATCCGAAGGACTGGTGATAAATTAGATGAGAACAGAATCCAAGCTGGTCTTTGGGCAGAACCTCAGCCCTCTCCTGCCTGCCCACCCACCAGATGATGTTTCCTATGTTCCTGGGTGAACCGGTGCCCCCCGAGACATTGGCATCTACTCTGGCTGAGCTGGACAAATGCCTGCAGCTGCTTGAGGACAAGTTCCTAAAGGATAAAGACTTCCTTGCTGGGCCCCACATCTCGGTGGCTGACTTGGTGGCCATCACAGAGCTGATGCATGTGAGTGCCACTGGGGAATGGGTGTCCTGGGAGGGAGCCAGCGTGGGCAACTAACTCATGTTGCCCTTCGTGGCTGTGGAACCTTGGGTGAGCTACTTCTTCTGTGCCTCAGTGTCCTCATCTGTAAAATGGGACTTTAAAGCCCCACACCGTAGGGATATTAAGGAGCTTCTCAGTATCTCTGGGGAGAGGACCCCTAGCCTATCACACATGGGGCAGAGGAGGGAAAATCCACCTAGCGGATCCCTAAACCAGGTCATGTGTTCACCATACCCAGCCCCCTCTACCCGATTCCCTCCCTCTTCCCATAGCCCGTCAGTGCTGGCTGCCATGTCTTCAAAAACCGACCAAAGCTGGCTGCCTGGCGCCAGCGTGTGGAGGCCGCGGTGGGTCAGGACCTCTTCCAGGAGGCCCACAAAACTATCTTGAAGGCTAAGGACCTGCCTCCAGCAGACCCTGTCGTGAAAGAGAAGCTGAAGCCTTTGGTGCAGAGTTTGATGCACTGAGCAGGGACGCGCCTTGCAGCCAACGTTGGAGACCTGTCAAAATAAAGAGATGGAGCTGCGTCTCTCCTTAGCCATGAGCAAGATGCCCCGCACGGTCTCTCGACCCCAGGTCCCTCCGGTTCCTTCTTTGGTCTAGCTCCTTATTTCACTTTTGCCCCTTCCACTCTGCTCTCATGTAATTTCTGGAAAGAACTTTAATAAATACATGTTTGACCCTTTCCTTCCTCTGTTGGAAACTTTCCTTGGCACCTCACTGCCCTGAGGCAGTACAGGTCAAGGTCATATAATATACAGTACAGGTCAGCTCATCGAACTTTGCCTCCAGGCTGCCCCCCTTCTGGTTTTACACAGAGACTCATCATTTTCCAGCCATTCTTGCAACTCCCGCCTCAGTTTCCTGGCCTTGGCTCATGCCCATTCCTCTGCTTACAGAACCCATCCTTACCTTTTTTGTCTGGTACCCCCTACCCCAATCTTTGGGCACTTGTTACCATGCCATTTTTGGCAAGGTGTCCTTGACCTCCCCAGCCCCAAGCTAGTTCAGGTGACCCTTCTGGGCTCTTCGGCCCCAGTGCTTGCTTCCCTCTGTCCTGGCAGGAAATTGGTTCCATGCCCTGTGGGCTTTAGCACATGTCACAGATGGGTGTTTATCCTGGGAAGAGATGTCTGAGTCAGGAGTGGCCTCTCTCCTGGGTCTCTGGGTCTCCCACAGGGGAGCACAGGGTAGTGCGTGAACCTCCTTGAAGGGAGGGAAGTCCCGGGTTATTTCCTGGCCCTTCGAGTGCTGCTGAGAGGTCTTGCTCTCAGGCCTACTTTCAGCCCCAGCCACAGTCTTCTCCACGCCCCACTCTGGGTTCCAGACTTACCACTTGACTCTACTCACAACCCACCTGTCCTGTGTTCCAGAGTCTTTGACCATCTAAGCTGTTGCTAATGGGACAGGGCCATGAAGAGACAGCCTCTTAGCCCACCTGCTTTCCCATGGAGTCTCCTTTAATATGCACACATAGAATTTTAGATGTGTGATGGAAATTATAAATATATACCCACACGGTTTCAATGACATTTTCATTTATAATTCCAATAACTTCGAAACACTGATAATACCATGCTTAGCCACAACAGAGTTCCATGTTTTAAATAACATGTTTTGTAAAAATAAAAAACAAATAACACCTTTTGTTTTGCCTATAAAAATGTTACCATAAACATTGTCGGCAAGTCTACTGGGTCCTGACTCCCACGCCCTGATGGACAGCTCCTCACTTTGCGGCAAAGTTGCTACAGGCGCAAGAGGACACAAAAAGTAGACGTTTGGGCCAGGCAGGATTTCAGTGATCCCTAGCATCTCTGCCTGGCCCCACGGGTCCCCCGCGCATGTCACTTTGTCTCCTGATCAAGAGAAGCGCAGATTCTCATTGAATGTGAAGTTGCCTGAGGTGGTGGCAACTCAAAAAAATTTCTCTGACGATGCAGCGTTAGGGTCAGACCTAGGGAAGGTCCGTATAGGTATGTGCATGTTTAAGGGTGTTCAGACCTCCGTCTAAATGGCACCAACAGCAGAAAACCGCAGCTGTGGAAAGCCAAAGTACTGGAGCCGAACCAGGCTGGCGCACGGTGGGGCCGGGCCACAGGACTTCCGGAAATCTGGGCCACAAAAGGTTGTCAGCCAAGGCCGGGGTTGCAACCCAGGCAGCCAATCCGGAGCTACGGTGTACCTGCAAAGCCAATGAGTAGCCCGGTTTCCGTGGCACCCCGCCCCTAGGGGCTACGGAACTCGGAGCTCCGCTGTGCAGTTTTCTTCGCCCCGCACGTCGCGCGCCTTCCCTCCCGATATGCCGTCTGTGGAGTTGGACACAAATTTGCCTGCTGGCCGCGTGCCTGCCGGGCTGGAGAAGCGACTCTGCGCAGCCGCCGCCGCCATCCTGGGCAAACCCGAGAACGTGAGCGTGGGCTGGGGAGCACGGGGCTGGATGAGGGTGATGGACCAGGGGTCGGGCTCTGTCCACACCTCGATTTCCCAAAAGTGATCCCAACCAACTCCTCCTCCCACTCACCAAGCTCTGACTTCTCTCTCTCCTTGACCTCGCGCCCGCCCGCCCCCTCCCCCCCCCCGTATGTTTTCTCAGTGTTGCCTTCCCCAACCATGACTCTGAAGTGATCTCCAAGGACCCCGGCCCATAGCCCTAACCTTGATTTCGCGGGGCTAGCGCGTCTCCGATCCCGCGCTCCTTGGTCCTGAGCGCCGGCCTGGCTTGTGCCAGCTTCAGGTGAAACTTTCGTGTCCCCCGCAGCGCGTGAATGTGACGGTGCGGCCCGGCCTGGCCATGGTGGTGGAGGGCTCGGCCGAGCCCTGCGCGCAGCTGGTAGTCTCCTCCATTGGTGTGGTGGGCACAGCCGAGGAGAACCGCGGCCACAGCTCCCGTTTCTTCGAGTTCCTCACCAAGGAGCTGTCACTGGGCCAGGACCGGTGCGTAGGGGCAGGGAGAGGACACTCGTGGGTCTGTTGCGGGACTGGAGGCATGTCAGGGCTCCTCCTGAGGTTGGGGGGAAAAGTAAATTCCTCACCTTGCCCCCGAAAGGTTCTGGTGTCCTTGGGCCCCCTGGTGTTGGGTTCACCTTGTAGAGTGCTAGCAGAATTGAATGAAGTTCTGTGAGTGTAGCCCTGGGTGGGCCACGCTGATGTCAGCCACCATCCCACCTCTGACATGCCCACTGCCTTGCTGGAGGGAGAACAGTAATGGGGGAAGCAGGCTTGCGAAATACCTGGTGGGCTAAGGCAGGCTGGCCTGGGATGCCTGGCTAGGGGTCTTGGAATATGAGGTGTTGGCCAAGTAGCTGATGACATCTTTTTTCTGTCCCCTGAAGGATAGTTATCCGCTTTTTTCCCTTGGAGCCCTGGCAGATTGGCAAGAAGGGGACGGTCGTGACTTTTCTGTGATCAGCACGGAGTTCATCCAGGGCATCTGTGAGCTGGTCACCTCTTCCAGAGAGGTCTCCTGGTAGAGTGAAGGCCTGGTGGATACGAGCTTCTGGCAGCCCCGTATGCAGACATGACTGTGACCTCACAATCCTCTTCTTCCCCATTCTCATGCCAAATAAATGAAGAGAGCTTTGTCTTTCAAATATGACTTCTTTACCCCACCAAGGCATTCTGGTCCACACCGGGCAGTGGGGTTGCTTTATGACAAAGGAACCTTAGGAAACCTGGGAGGTGGGATGGTTCCTGTCTTCAGGGTTGCTGTTTCATGTATGGTATGTAGGCTGCTTAAATTGGAAGATGCCAAAGTTTCAGCCTGGAGGCCCTGTTCTCCATGCCCATGGAGGGGCTGACAGCCTGGGCCTTCCTGCTGACTCTGTTGACCAGATATTCCTGTACTCATCCTGGGCTGGCCTAGGTAGTTCCCTGCCACAGACTGCTGTGTCCAGCAGGGGAGCCAGGCAGGCTGGGCCTCTCTGGGCATTCCCAAACTCCCATCTACTCCTGTGAGTCTTGCTGAGAATTCTCTAGCTGTGCACCATGTCCCAGAAAGGCAAACCTGGAAAGGCAGTGTCTGTAGTTAGAAACTGAATGAATGGGATCTTCCCCACTTTCACTCAATACCTTATCATGCTTTCACATTTTAGAGGATAAACACAGTGTGGGCACTGTTTCCTGGTACAGGTAAAAGTTTGATCATTGAGATGTTCAGTCTTTTTTTTTTCTTAAATTTTTATTTACTATATTTTTCTTTTAAATACAATGTTTATACTTGTCAAGCTGAATCTTGCAATCGAAAAGTAGAATTTTTTTAACAAATGTAAATCTCTGGTAATCCTCACCACGTTAAATATAAGAAAATGTTATCAGATAATCATGAGTCCCTTATACCAGATCATCTTAATCAGCAAACCAGCCTGAGATGTTCAGTCTTAATATAGTCAAGTTTCCAATGGAACGCTTGCTGTGTTTGGACCAGACCACCGCTGAGGACTCTCACTGAAAGCTAGAGCTTGTAGTTCCTTCCCCTGGCAACCTGTCCCATTTCTGTACTCATTCCTTCTGTCAACACAGGTGTATTGCTTCCCAGAGGGGTTCAGGGAATGTGGGTTGAATGTGAATGAATGGGTGAAGTGCCCAAGGAGGGATCCAGGGCCAGGCAAGAACCACCTATCTGGTCTCTCCACCTTAAATCTTTTATTACTGCTCTAGTGGGAGTGACGCCCTCTGTTTGCTGTAGGGACGTGCCCTTTGCCTGGCTCCCGCATTATCTCTTTACTGTGAACTTTACCCCCTGGTGATACTCTGCATTATCTCCTAACTGTTAACTTTACCCCCTGGTAATACTCTGCATTATCTCCTAACTGTGAACTTTACCCCCTGGTAATACTCTGCATTATCTCCTAACTGTGAACTTTACCCCCTGGTGATACTCTGCATTGTCTCCTAACCGTGAACTTTACCCCCTGGTAATACTCTGCTGCCGGAGGCTCCTGCTTGGCTTCACTCTTTCTAACTTCCAAACCCTTGCCACACAGCTTCCTGGTGCTTGGGCCACCTTTCCCATCTGTTTTCAACTTTCACTCCAGAGCATCTTGCAATGTATAACTTGAGGGTGGGAGCTACATCCAAATTTGCATGTTATCCGTTGAAACTCTGAAACTCATCTGTATGCTTCTGTTCACTGCCTCTCTCCCAAGGCTATATACCTACTCTCAAGGAGGGTGCATGCCTCGCCTACCGCCAGGTGCTTTAAACCCTACAGACCATCTCAGGAGCCAGTGAGAGCTTGGTGGTGACGGGTCGGAGCCTTGGATTTAGTCCCCTCTCAAAATCAACGCTGGTGACACAATTATTTTTGTAACTCCTGGCATATCAGTAAAGTGTTTTGAATTGGCTGTTGAATTCTTAATGATTTAACTGTCTTTAAGATCAAAGAGATAGCCGTAACATTCACTCCTATTTAAATCATTCTTGCTGGACCTCTGGTAGCTATGCATTTCAACCAGTGAAGTCCTTCCCTAAACCGATTAGCTCCTGAGAGTAATCTCTCTCAGCCTGAGGCCTTGTGAGAAATTCTTCCAAACTGTATCCTCTTTTGGGCTCTGAAATTCTGTCACTCCCTCCCTGGCTGTTCATTTACCAAGTCTTGGTTTCTTCTTTTCTTTTTTTCCCTTTTTCCTTCTGTTTCAATAGTTGATTGTACCTGTATTTGCGGGGCGGTGTGTGTGTGCGGGGGGTCTTCCAAACCTCAGAAGAGATGAAGTACAAGTAATATGAAGGAGAACGCTGTTCCATGTCTAGTACCCTCTTAAGCGTCCCCCAAATTTCCATTGTCTTCAGAGCACCTGCCCCAGATAGTTAACAATAACACCTCCCGTCATTGGGTACCGCTCGGGTTAGGCGCCGAGCTCCAAGCTTCCCAAATATTATAAGTGGTGGAGCCAAGAGTCCGACCGTGAGCTCGCGCTCCAAGCCTCCAAACCGAGGGGACTAAATCCAAGGCTGCGACCCGTCACCACCAAGTTCTCACTGGCTCCTGAGATGGTCTGTAGGGTTTAAGGCACCCGGCGGTAGGCGAGGCATGCACCCTCCTTGATTGGCTGACGGAGCCGGCTCTAGAGCCAATAGGGGAGCGTCTTGTTGTCAAGCGCGCAGCCGGCGGGCGCGGGGGTCCGGGCAGACAGGCAGTTGCCTTGGAGACGCCTGGTGAATTCCTGGGCAGTGGGTTTAGGGGCAGCTGCAGGAGTGGGGCGCGCGCTCTGCTGAGTCAAGGGCGGGAGGCTGAGTGGTGGCCGGCGCGGGGTCGGAGCCCGTGCGGACGGAGGGGGCTCCGCAGCAGCCCCAGTGCCACAGTTGGGGAAACAGAGGCCGGAGAGTGGAAGCGACGCGGCCGGGCTTCCTGGCTGCTCCTCGCACCGTTTCACAGCTCTTGCCTTGGTCCTGGGGTGTCTAGGATGGGGTTCGGCCTCGGGAATGGTTCACAGTGACAACAGCAAGGAGCCACCATTGATTCGGCGTCTGCTGGGTGCAAAGCCCGGCGCTAACCCTTGACTGGCGTCCTTTCACTTCACCTTCACTACAGCCTCACGAGGTGAGTGATATTATTGCCGTTTACAGGGGTGGAAACTGAGGCCAAGGGGTGAAGTGAGTTGCTCAAAGACCCCCAGCTAACCAGTGGGTCAGCCCGACTCCACGCTGAAAATTTTGACCTCACTGCCTCCCCGGAGGAGGCAGACGGGGGTAAGATGAACTTACTGATGCTCGCAGGTAAGTTCATCTTTGGGAGCCCCTTAATTCTTTGGGGGCCAGGGTTATTACAGGTTGTAACTGTGAGATGGTGGGATTCCGAGCAGCTAGGGTTCCTTCTGTGTGACATATAACTCGTTAGAACTAAAATATCCTGAGAGTGGTTTTGTTTGAGGTCGGCAAACTTTTGTTGCAAATATAAAAATATAATAATTCTGAACGTTTCATATAAATGGGATCATACAGTATGTCGTCTGTGACTTACTATGTTTTCATAGTTCATCTATTTCAGGTCGTCAATAATTCATTATTTTTTATCGCTGAATAATATTCCATTGTTTGGATATACCACATTTTACTTACCCATTCATCTGTTGGTGGACATTTGGCTTATTTCCACTTATTGGTTATTATGAATAATGCTGCTGTAAGCATGCACACATTAATTTTTACACTAGCACATTAGTTCATTGTGTGGATGTCCCAGAGTTTATACATCCACTCACCTATCTGTGGCCATTTAGGTGGTTTTCAGTGTTTTGCTATTACAAACAGTGCTGCAATGAATAACCCTGCGGGTATATATTTTCATATTGTTGGAGGTCCATCTTCAGGGCAGATTCCTAGACGTGTAGTTGCTGAGTTGAAAGGCACTTTAGCTGCATTTGTAATTTTGTCCAATTCCCCAGCAGATGAATTGTACCACGTTGCATTCCCACCAACAATGTATGAGAACCGCGTGCTGTTATAATACTTTCATTTTGCTGGTGTGGTAGGTGAGAAATAGTGTGTAAAGTATTGTTAGGATTTTTATTTTTCTAATTATGTGTAAGTGTGAACTTATTTTCAAAAGTTTGAGAGTCAGTTGTGTCTTTTTTGGTGAGTTGTCAGTTCATAGATTTTCCCTTTTTTTTTTTAAAGGTTTTATTTATTTATTTATTTATTTTTAGAGAAAAGGGAAGGGAGGGAGAGAGGGAGAGAAACATCAAAGTGTGGTTGCCTCTCATGCACCCCCTACTGGGGACCTGGCTCATAACCTAGGCATGTGCCTTGATGGGGAATCGAACCAGCTATCCTTTGGTTTGCAGGCCCACACTCAATCCACTGAGCCACACCAGCCAGGGCTATTTTCCCCATTTTTCTATTATTAGATTTTTGTTTTCCTGCCCTAAGATTTTATTTTTATCGTGGTAAAGTGCACATTGCATGAAATGTACCATTTTAACTATTTTTTAAGTGTATAGTCTCGTGGCACTAAGTACATCCACATTGTTGTGCAACTGTCACCACCCTCCGTCTCCAGAACTTTTTTTTACCGTCCCAAACTGGAACTCTGTCCCCAGTAAACAATGCCCATTCTTCCCTCTCCCAGCCCGTGGCAGCCACCATACTTTTTGTCTCTATGAATTTGCCTATTTTAGTAGATATTTCATATACTGTTGGAATCAGTATATGAAAATATTCTGATGATTCCATATGATTCATGGAATCATATACTGTTGCTCTTTTGTGATTGGCTTATTTCACTTAATTAGGAAGCTTGAAAGTTCTGTTTTCTCTTCTGTATTGTGGGCTTCTTGAAGGTGTGCAGACCTAGGTCATCACAGGCTCTGGGAGCTGCGGCTTTGAGCAGCTCAGGTGCCTCCTTGGTGGGGCTGGGCAGGGACTTGGGCAGCCTGTAGGGCTGGAAACCCTTCTGCTGACTTGGAGCTCACTGTTTTCTTTTTTCCTCTGACTTGCCTGGTCATTTATTTATTCAGCGTGTCCTGAGGGCGTATCTCCTGTGAGCTCTGAGACTGGACCCACACCCACTCTGGTGCTGGGGGTACATAGAAGCTCTAGGGGAAGGCACGGGCACCTAGCGCAGACCCAGTGGTTGTTGGGTGCCTTCATGCAA